GCGTTTGAGTTTTACCTTATTTGCCTGGTTGCAGCAGCCCCGTCCCACAGATGATCGGCTTGCGGTGCCGATGTTTCCTGGATTTTACTCCCTCCTCCCGCCTCCCCCTGCTCCCCTCTGGACCTCAGAGTTTTCTGGCTCGTCGGGCCCATCCACTTCTCTGAAACAAGAACTCTACCTCTGAACTCAGGCCTCTCACATGGGCTATACGTTTTAGGGATTGGTCCGGTTGCACCCCCAGCCCACTTCACTATTGACCACCGAGCCCAATTCATCGGACTGGCGATGAGAGTGGAAGGCTTGGGCCTTGGTTTTCATTGCTGTGGGATCCACAGCGCTGCAGAGTCTCGGAATGGAGACCCATCCCACATGCAAATGAGCGACCCAAGGTTGTATAGCACCGTGGCATGTCCTCCACCCTTCACGTGGGTCTTTTCTTCTGGGTCAGGTCTGCGCCATGGCGTTCGCAGCCGACGGCTGGGACCGCGATAACCTCACGCTGCCGGACGTGGACTGGCTGATTGCCGGTGCCAGGCCGCGCCGCGCGGCCCCAGACGATAACAGCACATGGGCAAGAAACGTAAAGCTTGACCCTTGGCATAGCGTTCGGAGTAGCCGCGCTTCGCTGGGAGATCCAAAGTGTCGTCACCGAGCCGTAGAGTGGGAGTCACGGCGGGCCCTCTCAATTCCTGAGCTGCTTCAACATACGACTCGCTCCGGCGTCATGTAGACGTCCCGCAGCACGGGTCCTGAAGGGGTCTGAGGTGGGTTGCTTCTTTTTTGCAGCCTGGTCGATCCAGGGCGATGGCGCTGACGCTCTGTCTCTGCCGGCTGTCTGGGATCCTCATTCTCGAACCGAGCGCTTTCTCTGCAAAGCCCCGCGGCGAACAACCCGCAGGGGTCCCAGAGTGGTCTGGAGACGCACTGGCCACCGCAAGCCCACAGAGACCCTCCTGGGAGCCATCGAGTGGCCGTACCAGGCAGCTCGGGCTCAAGAGCCAATTCGGTGGCTCAGAGGATCGATTCGGTGACCAGTGACCGTCCTTGAGATCCGACGTCGCGGAAAAGTTACACATTTGCAAATGTCACGAACAGAGCCCTGGACCCCCTCTTTCTGCGACATTCTCTGAGCTACATCGATACGTGAGGGTCCTGGGACTCAAACCAGAGCGAAAGCAAGCGGTGCGAAAAAGATGCGACGCTCGGGCCTCAGGGGTGGACCCCCGCGTCGCATCTCAGCGGCCCCTTGCCGCGTGGGGCCTCAGCGCCTGAGAGCCGATTCGGTGGCCCGTGGCTCGCGGTCCCCTTCGTGGCCCCCCTTGAGCGCGGGATGGTGCTCAGAGTAGCGAGTCGGTGGTTGATGAGTGGCTGATAGCATGATTGTGGGACCGATCAGAACCATCGTGAAATAAGTAGTTGTCCAGTGAGACGGGTATATTGTTAAATGCGACAACATCCATACATGAATTGGTCGTGATATCAGAAAGAGCGTGTTCTACCGCTGCTGACGGAAAACCGGGGGGGGTCACTACCGGTTCGAACCCCTCCCCCCCCCTCCGGAAAACCGGGGGGGGTCACTACCGGTTCGAACCCCTCCCCCCCCCCCCCCCCCCAGTTCATTATGAAAAGGGGGGGGGTCACTACCGGTTCGAACCCCTCCCCCCCCCCCCCTCTCGAAAACCGGGGGGGTCACTACCGGTTCGACCCCCCCCCCCCCTTCGAAAACCGAGTGGGGTGCGGACAGTGGTGGGGACGGTGTTGGTGGGGACAGTGGTGAGGGGATAGCGGGACAGTGGTGGGGACAGTGGGACAGTGGGACAGTGGTGGGGACGGTAGTGGTGGGGACAGTGGTGGGGACAATGGTGGGAACAGGGGGGGACAGTGGACAGTGGTGGTGACGGTGGTGGTGGGGACAGTGGTGTGGGGACAATGGGAATGAGGTGGAAACAGTGGGACAGTGGAGGGTACAATGGTGGTGGGGACAGTGGTGAAGGCGGTGGCGAGGACGGCGGTGGGACAATGGGACAGAGGTACAGTGGGGACAGTGGTGGGGACAGTGGGGACAGTGGTGGGAACAGTGGGACAGCTCAGTGGGACAGCGGAGGAGTCAGTGGGACAGTGGGGACAGTGGGGATAGTCGGGCAGTGGTTGGGGCCGTGGAGACAGTGGGGAGAGTGGAACCGTGGTGGGAACAGTTCTGGGGACAGCGGGGACAGTGCGACAGTGGTGGGGCCACTGGTGGGGACAGTAGGGGCGGTGGTGGAACCAGTGGGGACAGCGGTGGTGAGGACAGTGGTGCTGGGAACACCAGTGGGGGATGTGATGCGGACGGTGGTGGGGACCGGGAGTCGTTTGCTGGCGGTGAGTGGGGGGGGGGGGGGGGGTTCGAACCGGTAGTGACCCCCTCCGGTTTTCCGGATCCGGAGGGGGGGGGGGGGGGTTCGAACCGGTAGTGACCCCCCCCGTTTTCCAGATCCGGAGGGGGGGGGGGGGAGGGGTTCGAACCGGTAGTGACCCCCCCCGGTTTTCGAGCGGGAGGGGGGGAGGGGGGGAGGGGTTAGGGAAGGGGGTGGTTTTGCCGGGGGAAAGGGGGGGGGGGGGAGGAGGGGTTTCAGCAGGGGAGGGGGGGATTTTCGGAGGGGTGCGGGGGCGACCCCCGGGTTCCGGAGGAAAAGGTTGGCAATTTTCCACAGTAAGGCGGCGGTGGATCACGCTCTCTCTGATATCAAGGACGGTCTCTCTCTCTCTCTCTCGCTCTCTCTCTTTCTTTATCTCTTTATACATGTAGGTTGATGCTTGTACATGTTCATAATATCAGACTGACGGGGCCGAACGGTAATTCATTGTCCCTGGGTGCGTGGCTGAAGTGACGATCCGTGGTGAGGATTATGCATGTTGCGTGGTTGTTGTTGGTGTTGTTGTTGCACTCTCACTATTGAAGAATATGTATTGCTAATTCCTCCTCGCCGGTGCATGTGGTTTTTTCTCAGTCAAAGTGTGCCCCTCGACGCTCACATCCTGTTTTTTTGGCAAGGGAAGTCTTCCTGGTCAAACTGTGCCCCTGGCCCCCCGGACTACAAAAATAACGGCTCCCGCCTTAGACTTCTTCCAGATTTACTCAGCCCCCCCCCCTCCCGTCTGAGACTTCCTCCCAATTTTCTCAGGAACGGCGCTCCCGCTCGAGACTTCATCACAATTTAGTCCGGGTCAAACTGCGTTGTTGTTCCCTCGGACTACAACAACAACGGCTCCCGCTTTAGATTTCCTCCAACTTTATTCAGGACCCCCGCTCCCGCCTAAGACTTCCTCCCAATTTACTCAGGATCGGTGTTCCCGCCTGTGACTTCCTCGCAATTTAGTCAGGACCCCCCCCTCCCGTCTGAGGCTCCTTAACAATTTATTCAAAAACGGCGTTCCCGCTCAAGATGTCCTTGCACTTTAGTCTAGACCCCCGCTCCCGCCAGGCATCCCCTTTTCAGGCATCGTTCTCTCGCCTTTGACTTTTTTGCAGTTTATTTAGAAATCGCGCTATCTACGCTCAGGCACCACGCTCGCGCCAAGGACGCCGTCACACTTTAGTTAGGAATCTCGCTCTCGCCCTACTCAGGCATCCCGCTTGAATGTCCCACCCGCCCGACCCGCCCGTCAGAGGATCGCCCGCCCAGGCCCTGCTGGTTCCTCTCACCCACCCTGGCCATGCAGCGCGAGATGGCATCGGGCATCACACTCGCCTCCAACACCTCGCCGAGCAGCACCAGAGGTGTTACATGGTGCTGTTTATGGCGCGACCCATGGCGACGCCTTTGTTAACCTGTGTTGGAATGGCTGGCGCAAGCTGAATCGCAACTCGCGGCACAAATCATCGTCGTCCCCCCCTCTTGCCCCTCTAATCCCTCCCTTCCTCCGATCCCTTCGTCCTTTCTTTTTGTCTTTCCCTTTCCGTTTCCCTGTTTAGGGGCTTCTCCAATTACACGTGGCCCGGAAGGAATATAACCCCCCAAAAGGGGGTACGATCGAAGACGAAGAGGGCGGGTATCCAGGGTTTGGGATATGCATTGTGAATGACACGCGGGCCGGTAGGAGCGAACAGTCTTGGAATGATTGTTGTTATTGTTAGTGTTGTTGTTGCTTGTTGTTGTTGTTGGTGTTGTTGTTCTTATTGGTGTTGTCTTTGTTGTTGTCGTCGTTGTCGTCGTTGTTGTTGTCGTCCCACCCGCCACCCACCCGCGACCCACCCCGCGATCCACCTCTCGACCCACCCCGCGACCCACCCCGCGACCCACCCCGCGACCAACCCGCCACCCAACCCGCGACCTACCCGCGACCCACCCCGCGACCCACCCGCGACCCACCCGCCACCCACCCGCCACCCACCTCGCGACCCACCCGCGACCCAACCCGCGACCCACCCGCGACCCACCCGCGACTTACCCGTGACCCACTTGCGACCCACCCGCGACCCACCTGCGACCCACCCGCGACCCAACAGCGACCCACCCGCGATCCACCCGCGACCCATTTACGACCCTACCGCGACCCACCTGCGACCTACCCACATTGGTTCAACGAGACAATCGGCGCCTGCGGCGGGCTCGTTGTATAAGTTGTGGAACTTTGGCGCCTGCGGCGGGCTTCTCCAGAGTCTCGCAAACTGCCGACGTCCACACCGCCTCATCACTCTTATCCGCATCTGCAGGGTTCCACGTTTGTTGGTACACCTATATATATACACAGGAGTCTAAGCATAAGATGACTATATCGATGGATAGACAGCGATACCATTAGAGAGTGGTACCAACATATTGGCACATGTGTAGACAACCCTTCCCGACGCCAATCAAAATTCGAAGGTTGCAACCATCCCACCAACTACATCCATATCACCCGAGGGGTTGCCCTAGGGGTACCCTCACCTGTCTCTTATGATCCATGTCTTATTTTCGCTCTTGCCGCATCTCTCCCTCTCTCGCTCTCGCTCTCTCTCTCTCTCTCTCTCTCCCACTCTCGCTCCCCTTCTCTGTCTATACAAACCGAAATCAGCATATTGAAATACCATGCGCCCATCCTATGTCTCTCTGTGTGTTCTCTCTCTCTCTCTCTCTCCCTCTATATGTCCTCTCTCTCTCTCTCCGTCTCTCTATCTCTCTCGCCCTCTGTACACATAACCGATGTAAAGGTATATCTGTATATATATATATATATATATAGATCGATGTATATATACATGTGTGTATGCCTTTTTGTTTTCACCTATCGCTTTCTCTCTAGCTCTCTCTCTCTCTCTCTCTTGCTCTCGTTATCCTCATATATTCCTCTGGCTTTGTGTATCACCCTCACTCTTGCCGCTTCTCTCTTCCTCCCCCTCTCTCACGCTCTGCCCCCCTCACTGGGCCTTGCAGGAAAAATGGCGCGGAGAAGGTCGTAGTGCTGGCGATTGCACCTGGCGCCGTGACCACGGAGCGCGTGCGAGGGCGGGAGCAGGAACGGCGTGGAAGCGATGATATGCTGGGCTAGGCGATCAGACAGAGGGGGAGCGACTACGGGATTATGCTACGATGGGACTCAGGCAACTTCTGACACACACAAGTCACTTGCCGACGATAGCTTTCAGTCGAAAGCCTCCTTGGCGAACTTATCAGGTTATGTTCGCTTGTTCCGTGTGATGGCATTGGGCCTGCACTCGCTGGCAAGATTACGGAGTTGCGATGTTCTGGCAAACAGACGCACGAACACAAACATAACATTTCCAAATGCCAAGATTGGGATTTCGAGCAAGCGCGTGCGACGCGTGGGCCCATACCCCCTTCTATTTGCACCCGCCCCGCCCCCCCCCCCCACCACCGAGGTGGCTTTGAGAGTCCTCCCCCCCAGTCTGCTGGAGAGGTGAACCGAAGGGGCCGGAGGGGGAACCCGCTCGCAGGCGAGATGCGCGAGGAGCGCGGCCGCGAGGAGTGGTGTCCGAAAAAAAGTAGGCATCACGGCTGGCGCTGCGAGTTTCGCTTTGAGGCCGAGACCTCGGAGCAGCTGCAGAGCCCTCGCGGGCTGAGAAAGATGCACGGCAGGACCAGGAGGACACATGTCTGCAATCTCGCGGGCGCCGAGATCGGTGCAGCACCAGCCCGAAAGCAGAGTCGCCGAGGAGGAACCTCGGAGGGCGTCTGGCTTAGCGTCAGCACCCCGTGGGTGAGGGCGCGCGGCCGCGAGGAGTGGATCGCGGACGCGGACGCGGCGCTGCTGCTCTTTGCGCCCGGCGGCGAGCTCGGCCCCGCCGTGGCGGACCTGCTCGTGGGCGGCGCGAGCCCCGGCGGGCGGCTGCCGGTGACGCTGCCGGAGGCGGCGGCTACGGGCTCGAGCGGCGGGAGGGGCAGCTGATTCGGTAGCGAGCTGCACGGGTCCTCGAATCTCAGTCTTCAGAGGGCATTCGCGCGCGCTGGCGCTGGGTAGTCGATGAACGAGCGTCGATGAGCGTCGACCAGCGTCGGCCAGCGTCGATTGGCAAGGGCCCACAAGATGGCACGGGAGGCTCTCGTAAGTTGCCACAGAAGTTGAACAGAAAAGGATGTCAACAACACCTACCGAGCTAAAAAGAAACGACTTCCCCCCTCCACCCCATGGCCTCAACTTTGGCAGGTGTTGCGCTCGGGATGATTGGCTCAAGCTTTCTTGGCCCCGCGTCTCCGGGATCGCTTGTTCAATATGAGGGCTGGGGGCGGAAGGGTGTCACGCGAAGTATTTCCCTAACGCTTGTTACAAAGTTTTCCTGCAACGGGATCACCAAAGGATCATTTGGAATTTTCGTGCTCGAGGTTTTTGATCTGTCCACACATGTTGGTCCGTTCTCCGCGGTGTTCCAGCCCCGTGATGCTTTCCAGCCGCGGCTTTCCAGCCTCGCTCGGCACGAGGGATCCCCAATCGGGCCTTGAGAGAGCCCTCCCAGACAAGTCGACAGAGGGGATCTACACGGGGCCACTCGACATTGGCACGCGAGTGTCACAGTGCAGTCCCTGGTCGGATTCATGCGGTTCGCAGGATACGTTCGGTCGTTTTTGGACGTCGACTAGTGATTCCGCTGGGGTGCACTTGGAATGCGGTGAGGCGCGCACCCGTGGAGTGCCACAGCGGCTTTCGCTAAAGGGTTGAATCCCGTCTGATCTGGCTTAATGGTTGCTGCTTGATCGGGCTCAATAGTCCTTAAACGTTCTTATGAAGACCTCTCAGGAGTTGTTTTTTCATTATCTGGCAGAGGGGTGGAGGAGAAAGAGGAGGAGGGACGTGGGAGGAGGAGCCAGGACCTTCAATAATTGCTCGGAATGAAAAACGGATCCCGTGGAAGGGGTCTAGACCTGTGGGGGTCCAGGTTTTTTTAATACAAATACGCGACGTCGGACATCGAAGATCTGGGCAAGGGCTGATTCTTCATCACCGCCGCTACAGATCAGGGACGGCTGACGTATAAGTTTGTCGTGATTTGTTGGGCGCGCCCGGCGCTTGGCACACCAAAGCACTACCACAGGACAGCCGCCCTTGATACGGAGCGATGGTCGTGGAAAGTAGGCCCCCGATCCCAGGGCAGGCAAGGGTTGGCCGCTGTTCGTTCGATTCGGCAGCTCGGTCGGGTCGGTCCGGTCGGCAGCGGTGTCGTTGCTGCGCCGATGCGCCCCTCGTGGGCTGCGTGCGGCCTGTCGGCTGCAGTTGGTATCGGTCTCGGTGCTGGTTCGGTCGCATTTTCCAACGGTACCGGCTCGGGGGCCCCCGGTGCGGTGACCACACCGAGTGGTGAGTCAGTGGGGACTCGGGCTGACCGCCCGGTTTTGGCACTCGGGGTCGTTCTCCAAGGATGTCTCGGGCAGCTGGGGCATCAAGGATCCCAAGGCCGTGCCGCGACGGGCCTTGCGGTGAGGTCTCTTGCGATGTCGAGGTCGCCGCGCAGTCCGTCACCGCACTATTATTTAATCGCTTCGCTCACTCCGCCGGCCCTGGAGCGCTATTTGGGGCCTCTTGGGGCCGTCTTGGGGGCTTCTTGGGGGCTTCTTGGGAGCGTCTTGGGGCTCCTTGGCGGCGTATTGGGCTCCCCTGGGGCCTCTTTGGGGGCTCTTGGGGGCCCCTTGGGGCGGGAGGGGGTGTACTCGATTGCGCCCCCCCTCGGAGGCCACGATCCTCATGAGGGGTGGCGAACAATAGCCCGGAGATCAGCCGGGGTTCGGCCGGGGTACTTTTCGTCCGGGGCCCCCCAGGGGCCGCCTCGCGCGCGCGAACTAGAAATATTGTGGAGATCTTAGCACGCCTCTGGCCCGTTGGGCCGGCGAATTGGGGGCCCCCGTCGCCGTGGCTTGGCCCTGGCGGGGACGAGAGGGAGCGGGGGCGAAGGGAAGCGAGCAGCAGGCCTGCGCAGTTGTGCGTCGTGAGCCTGGAACAGAGACGCGCGACGTGCGTGTTTGCCCCGCCTGCTGCCCAGAGGACCTCACTGGCCGGTCGGGCTCTGAAGCCCATCCGAAGGAGGGTTTGACCACGGGCAGGAGTGACCTGAGGTGCGGGCATGCGCGGGTCCCCCCAGCACTGGCTTGCGTTCTTGGGTTGCCCTCCCCCCCCCCCCGCGCGTCCCCCTCAAGCCGCGCACCAAAGGTCACCCTTGCCTAGGGTCACCCCTACGTGTGTCAGGAGGGAAAAAATACAGACACAATTAATCGTTGATTCCCCGGAAAATATGGGAAAATATTGGAAGTGGTGGGGAAGACGAAAACCCAGAATATATGGCAAATCTAAGAAATCGGGTTATGTGTGTGCATTTATTTGTGTGTCCCAGGGCCCCTTCAGTGTGGTGGGTGAGTGGGATGCTCTGGCCGTGATCACATACACGACGGACGCCGCCTTAATGGGCCGGAATCACGCGATGGCCGATGTTCGTTCGGTGATGGTGGCTGTGTCCCGCAGCTTCGCTTCCAGAGGACTCCTGGGGCCTCGGAGCGGCTCCAACATGGACCGAAATTGCCCCAGGAGGAGCTGAGAAGGGCTCCAAGACGGATCCGAAGACTCCCAAGTACTGCCTCAGGAGCATGTCGAGAGGGCTCCGAGAGAACGGGAGGGGAGGGAAGCGAGCAGCAGGGCTTCACACTAGGTCCGTGCTGCCTTGGCGCGGCGGCAGCGCCAGCGCCGGTCGAAGGCCCCCCGACGGCCTCCTGTTGGGGGGGGCGGCCAAGAGGGAAGTGACGACAGGGCGGGGTGGGAGGCCTCTGCCAGGGCCATGATCATTGTCTCCCTCTGGACTTCACGCCCCCCCCCCTCCTTCTTTCAACACGTCCCTGGGACCCCCCTCGTCCGCGCACAGCCGCTCCCCCCCCTCTTCCTGGCCGCCCCCCGTGCTCGGCGCACCCCGACCCGACGAAGGCATCTATACACCACCACCGTGCCAGACCAGGGCCATCCTGGGCCGTAGGATGGTGTATGGACCCTCCTGGCTCGGCCAGGAGGGCGTATACACCATCCTAGGGCCCAGGATGGCCCTGGCCTGGCACGGTGGTGGTGTATAGATGCTTCCTGCGTACCCGACCCCTGGGGACCCCCAGGAGACTGTTCGAGGGCGCGAGCGGCCCAACAGCGGGCGTGAGGCCGCGCCCAAGACTGCCGGGGCGGGAGCCAGCCGCACACCGCTTCCGTGCCGCGCGCGGCCCTCTCCGCCGTCGCCTCCGCTTCCTCCCCCCTCTCCCGCTGGAGCTTCAGGCCGCGGCCGCCCTCGAGCGGGGCCCGCCCGCCCGCGCGCCTCACGGCACCTTCACGACCGTCGGCGCCTCGCCTCCCCTCGCCCCCCTCCAGCGGCACCGCCTCCCCCGCCTCCCCCGCCCGCCTCCCCCTGGCCGCCTCCCGCCCGCTCGCCTCTCCTCCCCCGTGTGCCTCACCCCGGCCGCAGGCCGACGAGAGCCGCTTCGGGGCCGCGCCACGCCTCTCTCTCTCTGCCTCTCGTGTGCTCGTCGTGGTGGGCGCCCCTTCGGCGAACCCGGCTGCACTGGGAAGGAGGGGGCAGCGGGAGGAGGTGATACGCGGGGCGCCATCTCAACGAGGGCCCAACACCATCGTCGAAAACATTTCGGGAAGAGAAAACCAGGTCCTGGGGAAAATGTCCAAACCCCTGGCGGTCCACGCTGCTGGGGGGGAGAGAGAGAGAGAGAGAGAGAGAGAGGTGGAGTGGAATTTCTGCTTTGGCTCAGAGCCTCCACAGAACTCGGAGTGTTTCTGCACGGCTTGTGTAGCTAGTTGTTGGGGAGACTGGCAGGCGCTCGTGGCGGTAACCAGCGCCAGCGAAACCCAGCACTGGCGTGCTGCAGAAACCATTGTCGATGACACCCAGGACTTGGCGACAGCCAGCGCTAGCGCCACTCGGGGCTTTCGAAGCTAGCTGCTAGCCGGGGCCTGGTAGGTTGGGTCCCACGGTGGCAATTGGCGCTCACGCCGCCCAGGACTTCGGAGGTTGATTGGGTTGGGGCGGACGATGACGTTCAGGTTTGCCGCCATCCTTGGTTACATACTTGGGCTGCAATGGCCAGTGGAGCTGGTGACGACAGGTCTGATTTTGCACTGGGCCAGTTCAGCTCGCTGAGAGTCCAAGTGGCAATCGAATGCTCCAGCACTACCAGCAGAGTCCCGATTCGCTTGAGCATGGCTGCGCGCACGTCTCTGGACGCTTGTGCTGGCATAGCAATATATGTTCCTTCGTTTCTCACTCGTTCTTCATTGTTCTCTCTCTCTCTCTCTCTTCTCTTTCTCTCTGGTGCAGTGATCCCAGTCGGCGTGAGAGCGCATGTGGGCACAGGATTGAGCGTTGTCTGGCACTGTCAGAACCTGCGCTTGACGCCACAGTCCTCGTAGGGTGACGTGACCTTGGCGCGGTCGTTCTTGTCAGTGCGAGGGGCCACGTGTTCAGCACGTGGGCCCCCGAGCTCCAGCAGTGGCGAAGCGTCCTGCCTCGCCTGTGGCCCTACCAGACAGTGTTCTAAGAGCCTTTTGTGGTGTCCACCTCCCCTCCCCGCCTCCGGGACATCTCTTTCGCTGCAGAGACTGCTCTGTCGATAGCCCAGGGGCCCGAGATCGGCCTCCGGAGGCCGAGGCGCTCGCCACAAAGACCCGTCGTGACGCCGGGGGGCTCCATTCCAGGCCTCCCAGATGGGGTCGGAGTACAGTCGGGGCCTTGAAGAAGGAACCATTTTCGTTGGGGAGGGGCTCCGCGCTCCTTAAGTGTTTCACAGCTTGCCTCAGGTTTTCCTTATGTGTTCGATCGGAAATCGAAGTTTAACTTATAGAAAAAAGGGGCCTCGTTCCTTATTTAGGGTTCCTTAGGTCAACGCCCCGACTGTAAATGGGGTCGGAGGATCGCGCCGCACCGCCGATGCATCTCCGATGCGGCTCGATGTGCAGCCCGAGCGGCCGCGCGTCCTGCCGGTGCTGCGAGGGCGGTGTCGTCGTCGGCGCCCGTCTCTGGCCGCCAGGGGGGTGCCGCGTCGGAGGGCGCGCGCAGGGCTGCAGCTCTCCGCCTGCGCCCCTCGCGCACCGCGGCCGCCTGCGCCGTGCAGGAGGAGCTGGACTTAGGTCGGGCCTGTCCCCCATACAGGGGGATTTTCGACGACAAATAAAAAAATACCCCCAAAATAGTCCAAAAATAGTCTGGGGACTATTTTTTCTTATTTTTACATTTTTGGGGCATCTTTGTAGTATTTTTTTATGTTTCGTCGAAAATCCCCCTGTAGGGGGACACGCCCGACATAAAGCTGGACGAGGGCGACGGGGAAGGAGGAGGCTGCAGGGGTCCACGAGCAGGTCGACCCTTTACGAGCAAGTCCGAGGCCCGAAAGCCATCACGTCACTTATTTTTTGGACCCCAGGGCCCACCGAGGCCCCAGGGGCCCCAGGTTGGTGCAGTGATGCTTTTTTCCCGCGCAGGGACCCCGAGAAATTCATCACTTCGCCAAAACCGAGCCCAGGACGAAAGTCAGGGGCCGAGTTGCTGCTATGATGCAACATAGATCTCGGATCACGGGTTATGTCGGGCGTGTCCCCCTACAGGGGGATTTTCGACGAAAAATAAAAAATACACCGAAAATGCCCCCAAAAGGTCAAACAATATTCAAAAAATTGCCCCCGAATTGTTTTTGCATTATTTTTCAATTATTTTGCGGGTATTTTTTTTTTCGTCGAGGGGACAGGCCCGACTTAAATCAAGGGCGCCCGCCTGATTTCTCAAGCTCTGCCCGCGTCCTCGGCGTTTCCCCCCGGGCGCCCTGTCCAGGAGCCCCCTCGGAGGAGCACCGTCTGTCCTCCCGACACATGGCCCCCTGCCACGGGCCCAGGCGTGCGCTACGACGTGCTGCTTCCTAGGGGGACCAAGAGTGGCATGAACGTAAAGACTCGGAGGTCCGCGCGGATTTCTCGGATCCGCGCTGGAGCCCCCCTCCCTGGCGCGCGGAGCGCGCCAGGGGCGGCGCCGGAGGCGCCGCCAGGGGGGTCCAGCGCGGATCCGAGAAATCCTCGCAGACCGCCGAGCTTATATGTTTATGCCACTTTTTCTTCCCCTACTTGAGGGTCTGAGTGGCGCCAGCCGTGGGCGGAGCTGGTTTGGTTCCTCTGCTCCAGGCGGCACGGGCCCAAAGCAGCGACCAGGTGAAGTTCTTGTTGGAGGGGGGAGGGGGGAAGGTCAGGGGCCGGGCGTTGCCAAAGCGTCCCTGGCCCAAGGTGTCCCCATCATTTCCGGGGAGCCTTGGGGGCGGGCTCCTGAAGCAGCCCCAAACCAGGCCCGAAGGGCCGCCGAGGGCTCAAAAATGGCGCGAAACGCTCTTGTGCCAGGAACGCCTGTAGCAACACCCGAACGGGTAAGGAGCTTAGCTGCTTTGATACGCACGTTTTGAAACGTAACACGTGCCGTGTTCAAAACGTCCGTGTTCAAAACGTGCGGGTTCAGTCTACGTGTTGAGCTCCGTATCAATACGTTACGCGTTGCGTGTTGCGTACCGCGGCAGCTAAAGTAAGGAGTGGGGAGGAGGAGGGGGCAAGGGCCGCGCCAGCTGCGCGGCGGCCCCCGCCAGGCGTCACAGTACCCCGGGGAGTGCGCGGGGCGCGCCGGCGGCCACAAAGCAATCAGCGATCACGCACGATGGCACAGTGGCCTCGGCGGGGGGGAGGTCATGCAGTGACGAAGCGTCCTGGTTTGCCTCAGGCCCCACTCAAGCATGATTGAAGAACCTTCTGCGTGTTCGTATGCGTATGTAAAGATGTGTGTGTTGTGTATATATATATATACATATATACATATATATATATATATATATACATATATAAATATATTACGCATACGTATATGTATATATAATTGCGTACATTTATATGTCTATGTATATAGATACATATGCGTGCACGCGTGTGTGTATATATAGGTATAGATATACATATACGATCCTGGATCGAGGGTTCACAGGCCACCCCCTGCAGATGGGACGGGCCCCAGGCTTCCACAGGCCCTCAACCCCCCAGATGGGATGGGTGGGGCCAGGGGGAGACGACGACGACGACGACGACGACGACGACGACGACGACGACGACCCAGACGGGAGGGGGGGGACGACCACGGCGACGACGACGACGACGACGACGACGACGACGACGACGACGACGACGACGACGACGACGGCACCGCAGCACCACCCCACACCCACAGGGGGGATGGGTGGGGGCACGGGCACCCTCCACCACGCCACGCCCACAGAGCCACGACCACATGGGGGGGGGATCCCATTCATGAGGCCTTCGCGAGGCTCACGGGCGTACCCATCCAGGGGGGGGACCCCATTGAGTAGCATTGGGGGGGCGGAGCCCTGGATCATATGTATATAGTGTCCTTACATCATCGTTGTCTGAACACATTAGTTGTTCGTTCTTGGAAAATTCCGTGGTAGGCCTATAGGAATGCTGGGGCGGTCGGTCCCTGCTCAGGGCCAGGGGGGTCCTGCTCAGAGGGGGGGGGTCGACGTGGCCTGCGCACTCCAGGTGGGCACCTAGACCTCTGGCGTCGCGAGAAGGTCACAACTGCTTGTTTCGCAAACGCATGGCCCCTGGAGGCCCGCCTCCGGCCCCTGGGGGCATCAAAGAGTAGCCCTGTGTCGCAAGATCCCCGGGCCCGTGGGGATGGGGTCGAGAGTTTCCAGGCCTCCCAAACGGGGGACGAGCAGATGCGATTGGGTCCGAGGCTCTCTGACGTATCGGCGATGCATCGGCTCCACGCTGGCGGCGCCGATGAGCCGCCAGCGTCGTCGATCTGCTCGGACTCTGCTTGGGAGGCGCCCCCAGGATGCAGGGCGTGGCACGGCGGAGGAGGGGGAGGAGGGGGAGGAGGGGGAGGAGGGGGAGGAGGAGGAGGAGGAGGAGGAGGAGGACCGACGTCGGAGGCCCCCTCCTCTGTACCGCCCGGGGCTTCCCCGCCCGCTCGCCGTGCGGGCCTCGAGGAGCGGAGCGGGCGCCCACCCCCCAGGCTTCCCCGGGGGGGCACGCGGCGGGGGGGGGGGCTCCGCTCGCACCCTCCGGCCCGGCGGGGCGCGGGGGAGCGCGGCGCGGCAGCGCGCCCTGCTGTCGCCCCCCCCTCCCTCCCCTCCAGCCTGGAAGCGTGCTGCCACAGAATGTCCAGATATCTACAAGATGTGTCAGAACTGTGTTATATGTAAAGGCATGGTTGAAACATGTTTAGAACAGTTGTTATACAGTGTAAACATACCATTCATTGAACAATAGGGTCGTTAGAGTGTCCATCGTCATAGCATCCACAACCCCAGCCCTTCGGCCAGCCGGCAAGCAGCCGGGTGAGCGGTGAACGACCCCCCCCCGCCCCCAGGGGGCCCGCAAAAGCTAGGGCTCTGCCAGCCAGAACTGCTTGCCAGACCCTGGCGCCCAGCGGGAGAGGCCGAGGAGTGCGAAGGGCATCTCGGCTCATTGTTGCAGCTCCATGGCGTGCCAATGTCGTGGTTGATCGAACTCCCCGTTCGCCTCCCCGTTGGCATTCTGGGTCGGCACCGAGGGTCGCTTGAATTACTCAGCGGGCGCAGGAGTGTTGTGGTGTTGCTGACCGCTCATGCATGTGGTACTCTTGCTGTCAGGAACGTTTGCTTAGTGAGTCGTGCCGACGGTTTTCAGGAGCGAAGGAAGAACGCACTCGTACATGAATCCACGCTGGTTTCGAACGTGTGCATTGCGCGAGCGTTCGTATCACAAGGATAGTCCGCGGACTGGGGGGCCGTGTTCATGCACGTGGCCGGGCGCGGACGTCTTTTGTGGGCGCCTTTGATGGGCCGATGTTGCACCATTACTACCACAGGTAGGAGAGAGAAGAGGAGGAGGAGGAGGAGGGAAGGAGCAGGAGGAGGAGGAGGAGGAGGAGGAGGAGCAAGAGGAGGAGGACCTCTCCATCTTCCCTTCTCCCCCGTCCTACCTATGGTAGTGGTGGTGGAACATTGGCCCATCATCCCCAGGTTCTGATCCACCACGCTTCGGCGCGACACGCCAACAACGTCCCGGTCGCCCAGCAGCAGCGCCCCAAGCCTTCCCCGGCCTCCCTTCCCACGAGGCGGGGAGAGGGTTGCCAGCCTGTAAGACAGCTGCGCGCCGCGGGGGCCGCCGCCGCGACACGCAGAGCAAAAGAAGCTCCTCACCGCACGGGGCCCTGATCCCCCCCCCTCCTGATCGCCGACACCGACACCAAGGGCCTCTTCTTCTTCTTCTTCTTCCTCTTCCTCCTCCTCCTCCTCCTCCCGTAGCCGTTTTGGCTCAAGAAGCGCCGCGACCGACGGCCTCGAAGCCTGCCTCCGGAAGCGGAGCCCCTCGTGCCGCCGGGCGCATGGCGCAGGACAAAGGAGAGTACAGCCAGGTCGCGAGGGAAGCCCCCGTGGACAGCGCGGGGGGCAGGCTGAAGTTTGCTTTCGACGGCACGCCCTTCAAGTGGAAGGTCGCGATCGCGGCAGGCATCGGCGTCGCGGGCGTCGCCGCTCTGGGCGGCGGCCTCGCGGCTGGGAGCCGTGGCGCGTCCAGTGGGGCGGCCGTGGCGGCGGCGCACGGCCAGGCCGTGCCGGCGCAGGCGAGCGCGACCGCGGACGCGCACGTCGGGTCGAAGGACCTTTCGGCGACCGGGTCGAGGACGCTGGAGGCGCCGGTGGCGGTGAAGGCGCCGGTGGCGGTGTTGAGCAGGGACAGCTTCGGCAAGGGCACGTCCTGCCGTGGTGTGGACGGCAAGGAGGGCGCTGAGGGCACGTCCTTCAAGGTCTACGCGGGCGTGAGCACCTTTGCCGACTGCAAGGAGAAATGCCAGGGCGTCGGGGACTCGTGCACAGGTGTCGAGTACCACCACGACAGCCTCGAGTGCAGGGCATGGAGCGCGCCCATCGGAGGGACCGTGGAGGCGAAGGAGGTCGGGTGCTTTCGCAGGAAGGGTGCGGAGCCAAACGCCGGCGCCACCTCCAACGCGTCGGACGCCGCGCCAGTGGCCAATCCCAAGCAAGAGGCCAAGTCGGCAGAGCGCCCAGCCAAGTGCGGCGACCGCTTCAAAGCGCCTAAGAAGCCGAAGACGGCCGACGAGCACAACGGCGTGGCCCTCGAGGACGTCTGCTTCGAGGGTGACGGCCCCCACCATGTCTTCATCATCGGCGACTGGGGTGGCATTACCCAGGGCGATGGACGGCTCGCCGCCGCGCCGCATCTCACGCACCGCTGGGAGACGAACTACAACTTTGTTTGGCCCCCTGACGAGCAGGCCCAGACCCTCGTCCGCGACCAGATGCGGAAGCGCGCTCCGGACAGCAGGCCAGACTACTTCCTCAACGTCGGTGATAATTTCTATTGGGCGGGGGTCGAGGACCACTGCGGCGCGAAGGACATCACGAAGCCCTACAGCAAGGGCGGCACCACGGTCTACAAAGAGCACAAGGTGAATCAGTTCGACCACGTGTATGAGAAGGTCTACACGGGGGACGGCATTGACGACAAGCAGTGGCTGGGCGTCCTGGGCAATCACGATTATGGCGGTTGGCTGTTCACCCACGCCTGGGACCAGAACATCGGCTACACCTGGAGCTCGGCTGACTACTCCACTGGTCGGTGGATGACTCCGGCCATGTACTATCGGTCCAAGGTGTGGTACGAGGACTTCGCCGTCGACTACTACTTTCTGGACACCAACATTTTCGACGCCCTGGACCCCAAGGATCCGTCCCCGCACAACATCTGCTCCGAGACGCACAACGACGAGAAGCCAGTCACCTGCGCCCCTGTGGGGCCGAGCGGCGTGTGGAAGTGCCAGGACTGGTTCGGCAAGCTTTGGAAGAAGCAGCAGAAGTGGCTCGACGAGGTGGTGCCAGAGTCGACCGCCGACTGGCGCATCGTCGTCACGCACTTTCCGCCGAGCTGGGGCGCGCCCGACTGGAAGAAGCTCGGCCCCAAGCACGAAATCGACCTCGTCATTGCCGGTCATAGGCACCGCCAGGACATGCACCAGCCTGGCGACAACAGGACCATGGTGTGGCACAACGACCCGAACGGGCTGTACAACGATTTCCTGGACCCTATCGTGTGGGTGACCTCCGGTGGCGGCGGCGGAGTCACCTCCGAGCGGGAGCCGTCGATGGACGGTAATGACGACCAGTATGGCTTCATGGATATGACCCTGGAGAAGAGTAAGATTATTATCGAGGGTATCTCCCATGGTGGTCAGCTTCGCAGGAAGCTCGTCATGGAGCCCGCTTTTCCTCACCACCCTCTGTACGACGAGGCCAAGGCCAAAAAGGCCGCGAAGGAGGCCAAGGAGAAGGCAACGGCCTGGACGAAGAAGCATGCGGCAGAGATAAAGGCCAAGGAAGAGGCATGGGCCGAGGCACACAAGAAAAAACCCAAGACGGAAGGGGACAGTGATGATTCCGAGGCAGATGTTCATGCCGAGTGATACAAAATCGTTTATTATTGAAGAGTGCGCTTGTCAGCGAGGCATGTGTGTGTGTGCGTCACCTGATTGAGAATCGTGTCAAGTCTTTTGGCACTCCTGATGACCATCATTTCTGCGTGTAGAGCGTTGCAACAAATCAGCGGCTTGCGAGAATCATCGGGTACTTGCGAGTGTGGCTCTGAGGGTTTGTCCCCCCGAAGTTAAAGTACAGAGGCGACGAATGTGCGGCAGTTGTTGCCAAATGGTCCAGCCAAATGGCACGCATGCACGCTTCGCACGTTCAAATTGGTGGTCCCAAATGGCAGGGATGCACGATGAATGCAAAGTGGTGGTCCCAAAGGCGGAGCAACTACTTAGAGAAATTCGTGTCGCAGCAGAACGCTGCCGATGGAGTCGCGTGTGTTTGTAGTAGGGAGCTCCATCTGCCCCTCACATGGGCGTTGCCTGTCTATCCTCTTCCTCCTCCTTCTCCTCCTCCTCCTCCTCCTCCTCCTCCTCCTCCTCCTCCTCCTCCTCCTCCTCCTCTTCCTCTCCTCCCAATGATTGGCACGCAGGACCTCTTCCTCCTCCCCCTCTTCTCCTAATGTGTTCTATGTGTCTCGCGAAAAACATGCATCCAGACAAGCCAGATTATCGAGGCCATGGCCTCACCCACCTGGTCTGAGCCGGGCCCGGACGCTGTCCGCAACGGTGGTTGATGGGCCGAGTTCCCACCACCACTACCATAGTTAGGAGAGGGAGGAGGAGGAGGAGGAGGAGGAGGACGAGGAGGAGAAGGATAAGGAGGAGAAGGAGGAGGAGGAGGAAAAGGAGGAGGGGGAGGAGGAGGAGGAGGAGGAGGAGGAGGAGGAGGTGGAGAAGGAGGAGGAGGAGGAGGAGGAGAAGGAGAAGGAAGAACACGAGGGGGAGGAGGAGGACCTCCCCATCCTACCTTCTCCCCCGTCACACCTATGGTAGAGGCGGTGGGAAATTTTGGCCCGCCAGTGGTCGCACCGCACCGCCCTTCTGGCCGCACCGTCTACGCCGCCCACACCTCCTCCGCAGCGGGTCGCCTCCGAGTCCTCGCGGCCTTGTCCGGCCTGCCTCGGCGGTCCGCAGGGTCGGCGGCGCGGGCACGGCTCCTTGGGGAGCCTCGGTGGGCTCGGCGCCGGGAGCCCCCGGCGGCCTGGGGGAGAGAGCCCTGCGGTGGTGAACGCTTTCGTGCTGCGTTCCGCGCCCGAGTCGGGCTCGTCGAGCAGGCCAGGGGGAGGAGGAGGAGGAGGAGGAGGAGGAGGAGGAGGAGGAGGAGGAGAAGGAGGACAAGGAGGAGGGGCTTCCAGGAAGGACGGACAGAGTCAAGGGGACATCTGAGCAGGATCCTTCAGTTGCCATGGCAGTCCCACTTGGGCGGGCCTGTGATCATGACGACTTCGAAAGGGCCTGTGCTGCAGTAGATGTGCACGATCACATCCTCCAGAGCCTTCTGGAACTCCATGGTGGAACACCTCCGCCGCAGCGTCGGGATCGACCGCGCGTCGCTCCTCCCCAGCTGCGCAGGGCATGCCCCCACACGCGATGCGCACGCACGCTGCATACACATACCAGTCATCAACAGCGTGCAGGACCCCGGAGCGACGAGTCCTCGGAGGGCGAAAGGGGGAGATCCACAGCTGGGCGAAGCGGGGACTGGGCGAGTGGGCGAATGTGGGACCCGCGACGCGCCGTGGTGCCGAGCCTCCCCCCCCGCCGCCCACCCCTCAACGGATGCGCCCGGCGCCGCCACTTGCGAAATCTCACTCCGCACGCACTGGGCGCCTCCAAGGGGGCGACTGGTTTCTGGTGTGGGCCTCCAAGGGCGCCTTGATCGTTACCCACGGCTGCATGTGCCTCGAGGCGCTGGCTCAGGACGGTTCGGCCCAGAACGGGCCTGGGAGCAGACTTCGACCGAGGCCCAGCCACGACGAACACCAGCGACTGCCTGATCAATGGCGAGGCGTGTGTAGACATGTGAGGCGTGCGCGGAAGCTGGCGGAAAGCCCCGTGGAAGCCAGCGGAAGCACAGAAGAGATGACAACGTCGCCGTGCCTGCAGGGCGTCCAGAGCCAGCGCGCTCCAGGCTGCCCGCTCCGCGCGCAGCAAAAACGCGCGTGGCTGGTGGGGCGCGGGGGCAGGGGAGCAGGGGAGCCCTGCCCGCCCGTGCGCGTGCTCTGGCAGGGCTCGAGGGGCCACGGGTTGACGTCGACGCCCTCATCTTCTCGTTTTCTTTTGTCCTTTGCTATCTCCATCCATCCATTGTTTCTCTCCCGCCATCCACGTGTCCTGTCTTCTTTCTCCTCGCGTCTCTGTTTGTGCATGTTGTCACCATGCGCGAGAACAAAGAAGGCTCCACAGGCCAAAACCAAGCTTGCGACTCCGTCGGGCGAGCTCCGCCCTTTTGGGCCTCATTGGCAAGCAGATGTTTGGCCTGTGGAGATCCCTACGGCGGAGTCCTTCTGAAGGACGTCCTGCGAAGGGTTCGTCGCGAAGGGGCCCTTGAGAAATATTCCCGGCGAAGGATTTCTGAACAAGAATCGGGGATCTTCTGACCCGGGTCAATCCAGACCCGGGTCAATCAGGCCTGCAAGATCCTGCACCCAAGCCCGGGTCAATGCGAAGGATCCTGCAGGATCCTGCAGGATCCTGCACCCAAGCCCGGGTCAATGCGACCCTGGCGCTGCAGGATCCTGCAAGATCTGGCGCTCTGGCTGACCCCCGTCTGCACTGACCCCCGTCTCGAGGCTCCCGAAAGAATTCCCGACGAAGGGTTTCCTCAAGGATTTCTGATCAACGATGTTTATATATATATATATATATATATAAAGTTCCCTGCTAAGATGTCCTCGCTGCGGATCTTCAATATTGGTTTATGATCCTCACTCAGGGTTCCTTGCTAAGGAATCCCAAGTACGGATTCCTTTATGAGGAGCCCCGATTAACGATTCCCTGCGACGGCTCATTTCAGACGGCTTCGTTGCGGATTCCTGACGAAGGTTTCCGTAGTGCGAAATCCACACTGGGGATCTCGTACGCAAAGGATCCCTCAATGAGAATTCCGCAGCCCACAGATTCGTGAAGGGTCCCCCACGAAAGCCACAATATCCAACGCGCAAGGCCCGTCCGCCCCCCCCGACGCGCAAAGCAACAAAACAACGACTCCACAAACCAAAACATAGATTTGGCCTGTCGCGTGTGCGTTGTCATGCGCGTTGCAGCCGATCCCGGGCCCCCGCTCCGCAGAAAGGAGCGACGCGGTGTCAGCTCGAAGTGTCTACCGCGCGGTCAACAGGGCCGCCGCCGCGACCCGCTATCCGAAACCTCCCGACCGCAACTTCCGCTAGCGGAGGTGCGCTCGCTTTACTTCCGCCGGCCTTCGCCGAGGGCGAGGCGTCCAGTTCTCGACTCCCCGAAGACGAGCCTTCATGTGCCTCCTGTGGGCCCTCCAAGTACACTGGTCGACCGACAGACTGCTGAAACGCGCGCTCTGCTCCTCCTCCTCCCCCTCTTCCTCCTCCTCCCCCCCCTCCTCCTCCTCTTTTTCCTCCTCCTCCTCCTCCTCCTCCTCCTCCTCCTCCTCTTCCTTTTCCTCCTCCTCCTCCTCGGGGGGGGGCCGATAACAGGGCGGACCGGCCCTCAAGACCAGCCCAGGCAGCAGAAGTGGTGCGAGAACATGACGGCCAATTTCTCCGAGGGCACCTTGGTGGGCTACCGCTGGACGGGGGCCCGGAACAAATGGGAAGGCCGAGGAGCAGGAGGGGGGGACGACGACGACAGTCTGAGGAGAAATAGAGGAGGAGGACGAAGGGGAGAAGCAGGAACACGACGAGGACGAGGACGAAACTGAGGATAGATGGGTATCATGGGAGAGGGGGGGAGGGGGGAGAGGGGGGGGCAAGGTGGGAGGAGGGAAGGGAACAGAGAGGAGCAGGGACGGAAGGAAGGGTAGCGTAGGAGGCCGAGGAGGGAGACGGGGGACGAGGCGCTCAGGAGGGAGGGGGGAGAGAGAAGAGGGGGATGGAGGCGGAAGGCCGGCCTCCGGCGGCTCCCTAGGAGCCCAAAAGAGGCAGGAAGCATAAGAATTCGATCCTCGAACTTCCTCCTCCTCCTCCTCCGCATCCTCCTCCTCCTCCTGCTCTTCCTCCTCCTCCTCCTCCTCCTCCTCCTCTCCTCCTCCTCCTCCTCCTCCTCCTCCTCCTCCTGCTCCTCCTTTTCTCCTCCTCCTGCTCCTTCCCTCCTCTCCTCCTCCTCCTCCTCCTCCTCCTCCTCAACATCCTTATCTTCCTCCTCGTCCTCCTCCTCATCCTCCTCCTCCTCCTTCTGCTCCTCCTCCTCCTCCTCCTCCTCCTCTTCCTCCTCCTCCTCCTCCTTCTCCTCCTCCTCCTCTTCCTCCTCCTCCTCCTCCTGGGGGGGAGGAAGGCGTACGCGGGCGCACAGCAATGGGGTCCGAGCAGGTGGGGTCGGAGGATCGCGCCGCATAGCCGAGGCATCGACGATGCGGCTCAGCGTGGAACCCGATCTCCGCACCGACGTCGCCGATGCATCGGCAGTGCGACGCGATCCTCCGACCACATCTACTCGGACCCCACTTGGGAGGCTTCAGGTGGTGGTGGTGCGAGGGCTTCCACGGTGGCGGCCGCGGCGGCGAGGCGGTTCGCGCGGTGTTGGCCCCGGGGCGAGCAGGGCCTGGCCCCGCCGGGCTCCGGCCGAGCTCCGAGCCGAAGACGATGGGCAGCCTAAGCTGCCTAAGGAGACGGGGCGCTTATGAAACACGTAGGGCGGATCTAAGTTGCCAGCGAGTTCTACCCGATGTGCACCAGACATTCTAGCAGGACCATGCACTTACTAGCCGCCGTGACCCGCCCAGTAAACGGGTTCTTTGGGACCCCTTTGGGGCTTCTGCGTGCTCCAAAGGGGCGCCGCAAAGGCCCGTCTGGCGCTCTCTTCTTCACCCCTCATGTGGGCCATCCCCCGTTGCCACCCGCCCGAGGAGGGGGGGGGGGGGCGGGATCCAACATGAGCAGTTGGAGCCGCCTCTGGAGGTCGAGAACAAACCTGGCGCGAACGCAATGATCTGGCAATAGGTTATACACGCGCGCGGCTACCCTCGGAGACTGCGAGAAAGTGGATCTGCACTCTGGCAAGGGAGATCCCGCCACGTGGCGTTCGCGGCGCTGGGGAGCACGAGGATGGGGAGGGGGGCGGAGTTGCCGCCCAGGGTCGTTCTCCGACGGCCTCAGGCCTCAGTGCCGCAACAATTGCGGAGGCAAGTGTTTGTCAAGTGGTTGACTCGCTTTCGAAGGGGCTGAGACACCGCACTCTGTCCTGGAGTGGGCCCCTGGGGGTGCCGAGGCCGGGCAGCAGAAGGCGCGCAGGGCACCTGGCCCGCCTTGGCGCACTTGACGGCTGTTTTTGTTTTTGGGGGAGGGGGCGAGGGCGGCGGCCTCCGAGGGAGACACGGGGGGGGCTTTTGTTATGGAGGACGATCGATGGAGAGAAAGCATGCTGCCAAATAATTTCCAGATTTCTAAAACATGTGTTAAACATGTCTTAAGCATGTAAAGACCATGTTTAAACATGCTTAGAAAATTGCTCCTCCATGTTTAAATACATTTTAAGTTCAATTATCGGACTGTTAAGGTGCCCATTGTCATGGCATCCACAAGGCTTCTGGGAAGCTCTCCTCAGAGGAAGAACTAGGCCGCCTCCTCCTCCTCCTTCCACCCAGATGGGGTCGGAGCAGATGGTGTCGGAGGATCGCGCCGCATCGCCGATGCATCGGCGACGCATCGGAAATCTACGCCACCCCAACACACTAGTACTATGTATGCGCCCCCCCCCCCCCCCAGGGGCGACGCGCGCACCGAGAAATCTTATAGCATGTGCGTCGTGGCGGGCTGTGTCTGGTCACACCGCGCGGGAGACGATGTACCACAAGATGGGCATACTACATGTTCGGGTCGGACGCGCGCCTCCTGGGAGGGCATCAAGTACTTGTAGATCTCTGTGGGTCCCAACCCATGCCGCTACCCTTGCTTCGTTTTCGCCTGTTTGAGCCTCTTGGGAGGCCCTCGTCGCCACCGCTGGATGCCCCTCGAAATTTTGGTGAGAGCGCATCGAAGGCGAGGTCTAGGGAGTAGCGGTATCAGAACTTCTTGGTTTCCCCATCTTGCCTTCTGTGGGACCCGTAAGGCTCGAGATTGTCTCTGTCCCCTCTCTCCTGTCCTCTGTGGGACTACAGGAGTTCTGCTGAAGCAAGAAACACTAATTAGACCAGCAAGGAACGAGGCCCGTTTCTGGCGCCAACTGCGCCTGGGTGCACGAAGAGGGCTAGAGGAACAACCACATAATGACCTGATGGACAGCGAGCCCCTTCCGAAGCCAAAGCGGTCCTTGTTTCAGCGTCTTGAATTTACGCAAGTTGCAATGCCTCCTGTCTTTTGAGACTTCCTGGGGCAGGTGTGAGTCGAGTTTACTGGAATTCTGGTTCGCCGTTGCCGGCCTGGTGACGGTCAAGTTCTCGTGAGGTGTTTGCAGCGGGAGATCGCTTCAAATTTCAGACTAGTATCCGTCATTTGCTCGACGGCATCATAAGACTAAATCGAGTCCCCCAAATTTGAGTCTTACGTTTCACCGATTCCAGCGGCATGTGTCCACGTCGGGACCCGCGGAAGGGCAAAGTCCAGAAGGAAATTCCAAATGTCATCCCCCTGTCGCCCCCTCTCCCACTCGGCCCTTACATCTCACGCCTTCCTGCCCCGGTCCCCCGCCAGCCCCTGCCTGGTCGCATACCTACCCGCCGGTTCTGCGAGGAACGACGCGATGGTGGTAAAGGCGGCGTTCCCTTTCGGGTTTGGGTTGGACTACACGGATCGCCCGGCTGGGGCCCTGATCGCAGCAGCGTGCTCAGCGCGAGATGGAAACGTGGTGGGTGCGGGAGAATGGGAGGAGGTGGGGGACGGGACTGGAGGCAGGGCGAGGGGGGAGGAAGAGGCTGGCGAGAAGGGGGGCAGCGGGTGCGAGGAAGCAGCAGGCCCGAACAGGGTGGAGGTGGGACGGAGGAAAGAGGGTGGAGGAGGCAGAGTGAGGGAGGGAGGACAGAGGAATGGGGAGAGGAGAAGGAACAAAAAACATGAGACGTATGCTGATGTTGAAGAGGAGGAGGATCGAGAGGGAGGAAGATGAGGGAGGATGCAAAGAGGGGAGAAGGAGGAGGAGGAGGAGGAGGAGAAAGAGGAGGAGGAGAGGAGGAGGAGGAGGAGGAGGAGCAGGAGCAGGAGCAGGAGGAGGATGAGGAGCAGGAGAAGGAAGTGGGAGTTGGAAGGAGGGAGTCCGGAGCAAGTTGTTCTCTCTATCCACGACCAGAACTCATCATGTTCAGAAGCTTTGCTTAAGCCCGCGGCCCCGTGCGCAGTAAGGCGCGCGCCTGCAGGCGGCCACAACACCAAGAGAGGAGTAAGAAGAACAAGGAGGAGGAGGAGGAGGAGGAAGTAGCAAGGAGGGAGTGGGGGCTAGGAGGGATGAGGACGGAGGAGAAGTAGGAGGAGGAGGAGGAGGACAAGGAAGAGGCGGAGGAGCAAAATGATCGTGAGGAGTAGCAAGAAGGAAATCACAAGGAGGAGGACACTCTGTAGGTGCTGGCACCGCTTACGACAAACACATTTGTCCTTGTACACTCCTGATCCGCAGCCGTGGAAGTCTGTGCGGTACACGGGCATACCCAAGCCATGAGAAGTCTCAGCGAATCTCCGCTGGGGGATGATCTGAGATCTTCTAGCGGGGCACAGCTGCATCAGGGGGGCAACCAACTATGTTGCGGTGCCGTGGGTTACACACATTTCTACGTGGTCCGTTGGGCCAGAAACGGCTCCAAGCATTCCTATTTGTCAGAGGAGGGCTCGGGCAAGTCGTTTGAAATGTAGTCATGTATTACGGTCTGTTGTTGTATGCGCGGGTTGTTTGGATATGCGAAAAGTGTTCGATTGCATGGCCCTGGATTCGTGCTTAACTTGTTGGGTTGGGATGGGGTGCACCCGCATACCGTTCTAATGCTGACGCGTGTCGAGTACCGCCCGCAGTTGCAAGTGTCTCGGATTGACCGTGGTGCGAGCTATCTGCACATGTAGGATGCCTGAAGGAGGGGGGACAGGGAGGCGGCTCAGCCGGCAGAAGTTCAAGACGCGTCCCCACAAGATGTCAATATTTTGGGGGATCCGAGGTGCCCCCAGATCCCCGACGCCGTGTTTATTTCACGATGTTGACCTCCAGAGGTTTGGACCCCTTCCTGGGACTCGTCTTTCATCCTGAGTCGTTTTCTGACGGTCCCGGTGCCCAGGAAGGGCCCCCGACAAAAGCGAAGCACGTCCCGTCGTGAGTTCTTCACAGCGCGGGAGGTCCGAGGATTCGCCCCGGGGCCGCCAGCACTCTGCGAGCGCGCTTCTCCCGCGCGTGTGGGGGTGAAGTCAGAGCGTGAATTACCTACCCCGTTTTCGCTGCCAAGCAAAACCAAGTCATACCACGCGCCTCCTCGTCAAGCGGCCTGACCAGTACAGGCCGCGGTTTGGCATCGCTTGGTATCTCTTGGAAGCGAGGGTGGTCAAAAGCGAGGTAGGTTTGTTTTGCCCCTATGAAGGTCGGCCCCCTCGACGGGTGCCACCGTCGGCGCACCCAGGGCCTTCCAGAGTCGGCCGCCCCGTGCTCCGTGCTCCCCGATGCGGGTCGACCGGGGCCCAGGCTCACGATCATCGTTCGGGAGCCTCGGGGCGGGGGTCGAGGCACACGGGGGTCGGCCAGAGCGCCGGATCCTGCAGGATGTTGCAGGGCCAGGGTCGCACTGGCACGGGCGCGGGTGCAGGATCATCCTTCGCATCGACCCGGGTTTGGGTGCAGGAGCTTGCAGGAATTTGCAAGGCCTGATTGACCCTGGTCTGGATTGACCCGGGTCAGAAGATCCCCGAATCGTTCTGGAACGCTCTCAGATTGTTCCCGAGCGCTCTGGAACGGCCGCGGCGCCCGATGCATTCTCCAGAGCCGCTGGATCTCAGAGATCCCCGATGTGTGCGGGTCCGATCTTGTCTTGGTGCTGGCTGCATCCAATCGGGTGTTGCGAACGGTGTCTTTGGTCCGAGGCGTCCGCAGGATTTTCAGAGCGCCCCTCGGCGTCCAGGGCACCCCTCGCAGGGCCGAGAGGGCTCCAGGGGCTCCAAAATGGCGCCCAAGGTTTGGGGCACCTTGGGCCAGGACCACCCTTGTATATGTTCGTTTGGGGGGCCTTTCCTAGGGCCCATCCAATGTATCTGTTCGACTCCAGTTTGACTCTGGTTCGGCTCTAGTTTGTCGCTAGCTCGACTCAAGTTCGACTCGAGGTCGACTCAAGTCCGACGCAAGGCAACTGACGCTCGGCACACCATCGACGAATGAGTGCCGCGAGTGGCTCCTGAAAGGTCCCCAGGATGAGCATCTAAACCTTTGACACCCCCCCGCCCCCCCGGTTCCGCGCGTCGCGCGTCTCGCGCCGCGCCGAACTCATCGCGCGGCGCGCGAGGAATTCAGCTACGACAACTTCAGGGTCGACTGCTCGAGCGACGCCGCGGCAGTGAAGGCCTGTACGCCCTCCAGCGCCCTCTCCTGAGGGCATGTCCAGATCGGGCACTGGCGGCAGTGCCGGCCGAACTGCACCACCGTCGGGCTGGAGAGAAGGAGAGGAGGAGAAGGAGCAGGAGGGGGAGAAAAAATAACAAGGGGCACATAGAAAGAATTGGGAGCACGCAGCCATCCGCCGCGAAGGGGGACGAGCGCGGGACGAACAGGGAGGAGAGGGAGGAGAGGGCGTGCCCGCGTGAGCTGCGGAAGGGCGACCTCGAAGAGCATGATTCGAGACTGGGCGCGAAGGACGGAGGCTGGGGAACAGCAGCGCGAGCAACAGCGGCACAAGACACGTGCCGCCCTGTGCCGCCCCAGAGTGCGACCCCCAGGACTCGGAGGTGGACAGACCTCCTACCCTGACACGTCGACTAAGGAATTGGCCGTTTTCGCTTCGCGAGAGGGCGTCGCGGCCGCCATTTTTGCGGGTCCAGGACCGTCGAATTCGGTCCAAGGCCGTTTTCACTAAGGGGAGGTTTACTAAAGGGAGGTTTGTCCACCGCCGAAGGACGCCGGCGTCCTCGCAGGCCCCCAGAGGAGCCCCCGGTGGCTCGGGCAGTGCCGAAGGGGGGTCTCGCCATGCAGGGGGCCGCCGGCTCCTCCCGAGGAGATCCCGGGCTCGAGGCGCAGGGGCCGAGGAGCTTTTTCGGACGAGTTCGCGTGCTTGGTGAGCTCCTCCTTCTCCTCCTCCTCCTCCTCCTCCTCCTCCTCCTCCTCCTTCTCCTCCTCCTCCTCCTCCTTCTCCTCCTCGCTCCTCCCTCCTCCCTCCTCCCTCCTCCCTCCTCCCTCTTCCCTCCTCCCTCCTCCCTCCTCCCTCCTCCTCCCTCCTCCCTCTCCCCTCCTCCCTCCTCCCTCCTCCTCCTCCCTCCTCCATCCTCCCTCCTCCTCCTCCTCCTGCTCCTGCTTCTCCTCCTCCTCCTCCTCCTCCTCCTCCTCCTCCTCCTTCTCCTCCTAGGTTCGGTCCTGAGGGGTCGTCCTTCTCGAGGAGGTGGCGAGAGCCCCCCGGGGTGAGCCCTCGAGCACTGCCCGACAGCTCCCCAGGGGGCCCTCGGTGGCTTCTGGAGGCTCGGCTGTGAGGCGCTCAAAATGATCCATCCTCGATCGTCGCTGGCAAAGCGCAACAGGCTGGAGCCGATGATGTGTTCGGACAGACGCGCAGGCCCCGGAGGTGCTGGCGGGCGGTCCTGCTCCCCGCACTCGCCCCTGCGAGTGCCGCCGACGTCGAGGTGTCCTGCGCCGGCCGCGCGCACACTTCCAGCTGCTCTCAAACCGCTTCTTTGACAGGCTGCCCAGGAGGAGGAGGAGGAGGAGGAGGAGGAGGAGGAGGAACGAGGCAGAGGAGATATATGCTCGCCGCTCGCCAGCTGCCCACCGAGCCTCGGGCACGGGGTCCAGGGGGACGTCTCTGGGATTCCAGTGCGCCCGAAGGTCGTGCGGGGCCCCCAAACGGTGCAGAGGCCGCACCGGGTGGCGAGCTGGTGGAGAGATTGGGGGCCACGGCACGGTTTTGGGACTCGAGTCGTGCTCCGAGGATCCGAGGTTGGGGGGTGAGATCGCAGTGGAACGGAGACCCCCAACCTGGAAATCGTTTCGTTTCGTTCGTGTCGTGCGTGCGGGCCAGGCGAAGCTGCGTGGGCGCGCGAGAGGAATGAACCCGCCGTTGCTAGGGCGAAGTTAAGACAAATGTTGCTCCCCTGTCCGTCCGTCCGTCCGTCCGTCCGTCCGGAGGTGGCCCTAGCGGTGTCCCGCGGTGTCCCGTGGTGTCCCGTGGTGGCCGCCGTTGCCAGGGCGAAGTCCACACAAATGATTCTCCCCCTCCCGCCCGTCCGGCGGAGACTCGCGGTGGCCCGCGGTGTCCCATGGTGTCCCGTGGTGTCCGCCGTTGCTAGGGCGAAGTCAAGACAAATGATTATCCCCCGCCCGCCTGTCCGTCCGTCCGTCCAGCGGTGGCTCGCGGTGTCACGTGGTGTCCCGTGGTGTACCTTGGAGTGAGATCGATACTGAGATCGATACTGAGATCAATGTGGTGCCTCGAGGTGTCCCGTGGTGTGCCGTGGTGCCCCAAAAAGTGAGATCGCTAGTGAGATCGACAGGTGTCCCGTGGTGTCGCGTGGTGTTCCGTAGTGTCCCGTTGAGAGAGATCGATGGTGAGAACGATACTGAGATCGATGTGGTGCCCCGAGGTGGCCCGTGGTGTCCCGTGGAGTCCCAAAAAGTGGGATCGATAGTGAGACCGACAGGTGTCCCGTGATGTCCCGTGGTGTCCCGTTGAGTGAGATCGATAGTGAGATCGATAGTGAGATCGATAGTGAGATGGATGTGGTGTCCCGGAGTGTCCTATGGTATCCCGTTGAGTGAGGTCGACAGTGAGACCGATAGTGAGATCGAGAGTTGGCCCGCGGTGTCCCAGTGTGTCCCGTGGTGTCCCGTTGAGTGAGTGGATAGTGAGACCGATAGTGAGATCGACTAGTGTCCCGCGGTCCCTCTGTGTCCCGTTGAGAGAGATCGATAGTGAGATCGATTGAGTCAGATGTTGGTTTCCTCCCCTCTCCCCCCCCACACACAACATCCTGATCAACCGAAGGGTGGTCGTGTATACCTACACGACATATACTGGACACCACGGGACACTTGTCGATCTCACTATCGATCTCATTATCGATCTCACTCAACGGGACACCACGGGACACCACAGGACACCGCGGGACACCTCTAGACCTCATTATCGGTCTCACTATCGATCTCACTATCGATCTCTTTCAACGGGACACCATAGAACACCACGGGATACCTCGGGACACCACATCGATCTCACTATCGATCTCACTCATCGGTACACCACGGGACACCACATCGATCTCATTATCGATCTCACTTTTTGGGACACCACGGGACACCGCGGGACACCACGGGATACCGCGGGACACCTCTAGATCTCATTATCGGTCTCACGATCGATCTCACTATCGATCTCACTCAACGGGACCTCATAGAACACCACGGGACACCTCGGGACACCACATCGATTTCATTATCGATCTCACTCAACGGTACACCACGGGACACCACGGGACACCACATCGATCTCACTATCGATCTCACTCAACGGGGTACCACGGGACACCACGGGCCACCACGGGATACCGCGGGACACCGCGAGCCAGCGCCGGACGGACGGACGGGAGCGAAACATTTGTCTTGACTTCGCCCTAGCAACAGCAGACACCACGGGACACCGCGGAACACCGCTAGGGCCACCGCTGGACGGACGGACGGACGGACGGACAGGGGAGCAACATTTGTCTTAACTTCGCCCTAGCAACGGCGGGTTCATTCCTCTCGCGCGCCCACGCAGCTTCGCCTCGCCCGCACGCACGACACGAACGAAACGAAACGATTTCCCGGCTGGGGGTCTCCGTTCCACTGCGATCTCACCCCCGAACCTCAGCTCTCGGGATATCGGGACCTCCGAGGCCTCAAGAACGTGTGATGACTTGCCGCGCAGAGAATCTCTCGGGATTTCGAGGTCACCGCGCGTTCCGTCACCACATGGTTTTGGAACCCCCGAGTTGCCAGAATTAGTTTCGAAAGGAGGACCACGCCGCATCGTCGGTGCATCGGCGATGTGGCGCGATCCGAGCCCGATTTCCTCCATCCCGCCACCGCTGGTGCGTCGCCGATGCACTGGCGGTGCGGCGGAATCCTCCGACACCATCTTCCTGGACACCATTGGAACGGCCTTCACAGGGGGGGCTTCTCGAAGGCCAGGGTGCGCCAAAAGACCATCGCCGAAGGTGCTGGAAGGAAGGCGGGGGGTGTCGCCCGAAAACGTGCGGGCGCGCGTGTGTCCCTAGACCGCCTGCGACGGCCAAGACAGTGATTGCCAAAAAGTGCACACCAGACAGGCAGCCGCACAGCACGACTGCTTGGTCGCACTGGGTGCCCTTGGCCTCGGGGCCAGAGGGTGGCCCCCGAGTCCGACATACACACGTGCAGAGAAGAAGTCCGGCGGAAGTTCGAGGGAGGCGCGCTCCGAAGACGTGCGGGCTCGCTCCCCCGCCTCTCAGGTCTCAGGAGGGAAAAACACACAGACACAATTACTCGTCGATTCCCCAGAAGATATGGGAAAATATGGGAAGTGGGGGGGGAGACAAAAACTTAGAAAATATGGGAAAATGTGGGGAATCTTTTTATGTGTGTGTATTTATTTGTGTGTCCCAGGGCCCCTTCACTCTCAGGTCCCCCCTCCGCCCCGCGCTGGCGTGGCTCCCGCACCCCTCACACCGTGTCCCGCTTGCAGCCAAGGACGCCGACACGGTGGAGGCCCGTGCCAAGAGACGCCCTCCTGGCCTCCAGGGTGCCCTGGGTGTCTTGGGCCGCGGTGGTTTTGGGGGACGGGAGGCGCGACGTCCCAACACGAAAAATCGATGGGCGTCCTGGGGTCTCAGGGTTTCGGGATGGGAAGCGTGACGCTCCAACACCGAAAGTCGATGGACGTCCTGGGGGCTCAGGGTTGGGCTTCTTGTGGCAGGTGTCTTGTGGTCGAGCCCCTCCCCTACGAGGACCACCTCGGGGCCCGGGAGGGGTCCCTGGTTGTCGGGCCCTGGGATGGGAAGCGTGACGTACCAAACATCGATGGACGTCCTGGGGGCTCAGGACTGGGTTTCTTGTGGAAGGTCTCTTGTGGTCGGGCCCCTCCCGCACGAGGACCACCTCGGGGGGCCCGGGAGGGGTCTCTGGCTGTCGGGCCCCGCCTTCAAGTGCTTTGCGTCGGGGGAGCCTCTCTGTGGCCGCGTGGCTCGCCATGGCCAGGAACAAAAAAAAAAAACGCCTCGGCCCTGCTTCCGCATCCCGTGTGGTGGCACGATGGTGAGCGGGGAGGCATTATGAAGCGCAGGAGGAGGAGGAGGAGGAGGAGGAGGACAACAGGAAGGACAACATGAAGGAGAGCATCGAAGGCTGAGCGGGAGGAGCAGGGAGAGGGCGTGACAGGGCAGTGGAGGGGCAGAGGGGGGGGAGAAGCAGGAGTAGGAGGAGGGCGAACAGGAGGCGTAGGAGGTGGAGAGGGAGGAGTTGGAGGAAGGGTCGCCGTTCCCTGCTCCCTGCCCCCATCTTGGCGCCAGACCCCCGACGCCGTGATTTTTGACGAGGCACTGCGGGACTCCCAGAGCTCCCGTCCCAGTCCCTCGAGCCGGCGATCCGCCCCAGGGGATCCCGAGAACGGCAACAACAAAAAAGCGCGACGCCGAGGTCTGGGTCCCCCTTCGCCCACCTTTCTCGAAGAATGAAAACGCTTTAAACATAAATTACCGGGCATTCGAAATGTGGCCTGGCCTGAGAATGGTGTTCTGGGAACACGAAGAACACGAAGTGGCCGACAGTTGGCTCCGGGCATTCAAAATGTGGCATGGGAATGGTGTTCTGGGAATGGATTCCTAAGGATTCCTAAGCATTCCTAAGGATTCCTAAGGATTCCTGGGGCTGGCGGATCCGTCTGGTTCCCTGTCCGGGTTCCGCCCAGACCCCCCTGGGGCGTCAAGATGCTCTCTTTTGACACCACTAGAAACCTATCAGCAAAAGCTGTTAGGTAAAAATGCCCCAGAAATATCCTGGCGAAGGACCCAACCATACGCAATTGTGAATAACGCGTTGTGGGTGCCGCTTTCGGTGGGGATCCTTATGGGGCCACGAAAGGCGTGCCACGAAACGCTGTCCTGGGCGTACGGGGCGCATGAGGGCGGTAGCACTGGGGCCTTCGGTGGAGCTCCCTATGGGGCCACGAAACGTGTGAGGGGTGTGCCGAAATGGGTGCGGCGCCGCCATGCCAACGCAGCCACTGGGGCCTTCGGTGGAGCTCCCTATGGGGCCACGAAACGTGTGAGGGGTGTGCCAAATTGGGTGCGGCGCCGCCATGCCAACGCAGCCACTGGGGCCTTCGGTGGAGCTCCCTATGGGGCCACGAAACGTGTGAGGGGTGTGCCAAATTGGGTGCGGCGCCGCCATGCCAACGCAGCCACTGGGGCCTTCGGTGGAGCTCCCTATGGGGCCACGAAACGTGTGAGGGGTGTGCCAAATTGGGTGCGGCGCCGCCATGCCAACGCAGCCACTGGGGCCTTCGGTGGAGCTCCCTATGGGGCCACGAAACGTGTGAGGGGTGTGCCAAATTGGGTGCGGCGCCGCCATGCCAACGCAGCCACTGGGGCCTTCGGTGGAGCTCCCTATGGGGCCACGAAACGTGTGAGGGGTGTGCCAAATTGGGTGCGGCGCCGCCATGCCAACGCAGCCACTGGGGCCTTCGGTGGAGCTCCCTATGGGGCCACGAAACGTGTGAGGGGTGTGCCAAATTGGGTGCGGCGCCGCCATGCCAACGCAGCCACTGGGGCCTTCGGTGGAGCTCCCTATGGGGCCACGAAACGTGTGAGGGGTGTGCCAAATTGGGTGCGGCGCCGCCATGCCAACGCAGCCACTGGGGCCTTCGGTGGAGCTCCCTATGGGGCCACGAAACGTGTGAGGGGTGTGCCAAATTGGGCCGCCGCCATGCCAACGCAGCCACTGGGGCCGGTGGAGCTCGGGGCCACGAAACGTGTGAGGGGTGTGCCAAATATGCGAACGCAGCCACTGGGGCCTTCGGTGGAGCTCCCTATGGGGCCACGAAACGTGTGAGGGGTGTGCCGAAATGGGTGTGGCTGACGCGGAGGGGGAGGGGGGAGGAGGCGGAGGAGGAGGAAGGAAGGAAGGAGAGGAGAGGAGAGGAGACGCGGGGCACCGTCTCTTCAAAACGAGGACCCAACACCACAGGATGGTTGGGGAAATATTCCAAAAAGGTGAAACAATATTCAAAAAATAATCCCCATACTAGTGTTGTGCTATTCTTGATGATTTTGGGAGTATTGTTCATTCATGTTTCGTCGACAATCCCCCTGTAGGGGGACAGGCCCGACTTAAGCTTGGTGGCGAAACCCCCCTGGGCATCTCCAGCCTCGGGGCCTCCCCTGGCAGCCCCGCCGAGGTCACCGTGACCAACGTGGGCGGCCGGCAGGGCACGGCTGTGCCGCAGGCGTACGTGGGGTTCGACAAGCTCAGGCCAGCAGCGCTGCGACGCCGCCACGGCCCCGGCACCGCTCGGATGTGTGCATTTAACGGGCGAAGAACGGTATAAAGTAAACTGTTTCGCCGTCGGGGACACCTGCCCCTGGGCGGCTGGAAAGTGTAGTATACCCTTACGGTGGCACCGTAGGGGTATAAACTTTCCAGCCGCCCAGGGGCAGGTGTCCCCGACGGCGAAAACGTTTATTTGTTTACCGCTTTTCGCCCGTTAATGCATATTTCCTTCGGCGAGGACCATCGAGGAGCATCCTTGATCACTTGGCGAAAAAATTCCACGCACGAGACCGACAAAAAAAACACAGGGAAGGGACGTCCGAGCGAGGGCGAGCGGCCGCCGCCTCCTCCAGCCTGCCCAGCGGCCGCGCCTCACCGGGAGCGTTCCGGGGGGGGGCCGGAATCGTCCCGAGCGACCGCGGAACACCGAGCTATGACCCGAAGGCCAGTCGCGGGCGAGGGCAGCCGCAGTCATCCGAGCAGCCTTCTCATCAGATTCAGAGTCATATGCGGGAACAGCGTGGTGGATGGCGTCTGCGAACTTATTTTGTAGAACGAACGAGCTGTCAAGCGTGTAGATTTTCGACGACAGCTCCTGACTAGCATGCGAAAGGTGCGCAATCAGAGCCTCACTGCTCTCCATACGCGCGGTGGCCACATGCAGGCCTCGGTGGAGGCTGGCCGGACCGGCGGCCTCAGAGAATTCAGAGATAATGGTATTGGTGGGCCGACGCCCTGGCAGCAGCCGTGAACCAGGCGCCCACGGTGGCAGTCGGCATGGCCATCCTCTGGTGGGACCTCCAGGTCCAAGCGTTCCTCTTGGTCGCTGGTCGGAGGGGTCGGCCTTCAATCCTCATGCTCGGCAGCCTCATCCAGGGGAACAGGGAGGGCCACCGGGAATCGCGGAGGCGTGGCACGCCGTCGTGAACGACCCGTGCTTGCTTCCACCTGGATGGAGATTCGCCACTTGTCGTACGTAGACGAGTGGCTCCTGCAGAGGTGTCGCTGGCGAGGGCAATTCAAATTCTTGCCGCTGTGGGGGCGCTCGTGACCGGCCGCAAGCTCCCGCTGCAGCCCGCGAAGGGCGCGTTCCACGTGCCAGCGCTGGCCGGCACCCCGTGGGGAGCGATCGCGGCGCGCATCCAACCTGCTCGGCACGGAGGCGCGCGGCGACCATGCTGTGCCAGTGTATGCCGCCGGCGTGCCGGAGCAGACCCAGCAGCGCTTGGAGCGGGCGGTCCGATTGGCCGACGCCGCGCTGGAGATGATGTGTTTGGCACCCCGGGCTGGTGCCAAGCAGACTGCTTTCGCCTTGTGCCATCGTCGCCCACGCGCTGGACTACGATGCGGGAGTCGTAACGTGTAACGCTCTGCTGCCCCACGCCCGCGTTTTGGACCAAAGCGTCGTGCACGTCGTCGCGGCGTCGATCGACCCGCGCCCAAATTAGCTCACACAGAGGGAACTCCAGCAGGCTGGATTTCCTGTCTGGTACGGAGGCCTGCAGCTGGACGCGCCCTCGCGCATCGTCCCGCTGGCGCTGGCGGCGCGGCTCGTCGAGCACGGCCCCGTGCTCCTCGCAGAGATCTTGTCTTGGGCTGCTGGCAGAGGCGCGGTGGCTGCGGTCGCCCGCAACGTCAAGCAGTGCGACGGCGTTGGCGATGCTGCCGCGGACGGCATCATGGTATGGATATGGTGCGGAATTGCGGCATCGCCGTTCTCACTGCAAGTGCCTGCAGCACTCGACCGCGGCTCACTGTTCCGACCTGCTCGCGGTGCTGCGGCGCGGCACCAAGCGCGCCTCCTCAGAGAGGTTTGGCTGACCGCGGGCTCTGCCTTCACCGCCGAACTCAATCTATCGCGATGCCCGCGCGGACGGAGAGTGGGTCTAGTCCGTGCGTTTCCGCATGGGCATCCCCGCGCCGCGCCAACCTGGGGCGCAGTGCCTGATTGAGGGGAATGTCCACGCAGGAGCGGTGCTTCGGGCAGCTGGGCGCACGCGGCGACCACGCAGCCGTGTGCAAGCGCGAACCACGACAGAACAGCCGCAACGACATGGCCGACGTCTACGCGGACATCATCCCGGAGGTTGGCGGGCACGTCCGCCGCGATCTGTTTGCTCCCGAGCTCTGCACCAGCCGTGCGGAGCTATCGGTGGAAGCCTGGGCCGTCTGAGTCCCAGAGTTACCACGCCCACTTGACGTCACCGTCAGGCATCCCATGCCAGTCGCCGACCACCCGGCGCAGAAGCTGGGGAGCGCGCCGCGCGCTACTGAGGGCGAGAAGGACGACTGCTACCTACCCGCCAGCCGGCGGCAGAGCAGTTCGGCCACCAGCGCACGAGACCTCCTGGCCGCCTCAGAGCAGGCGGAAGCCTTGCTGGAGCACTGCGCAGCGTCGCACGCCAATGGAGCTGAGCTGGCCGCCGGGAACGCCCAGCGCCGCTGCTGGACGCGCGGCAGCCAGGGTCGCGGAACCCGTGACTGGGCGGAATGACTGCATTTTGATTTCGATCGAGATGCTGACGATGACCTTCACCTTGCGCTCCTCTTCCCCTGCCCTCCGCCCGCCCGCCCCCCCTCCTGAGCACCATCCTGGCCCGCGCGCCGACTAGCGCCCGGTCGCGACTCCTAAAGGCCCGGAAGAGGAGGGAGAGGGGAGATGGACGAGGGAGCGGGAGGAGGAGGAGGAGCAGGATGAGGAGGAGGAGGAGGAGGAGGAGGAGGAGGAGGAGGAGCAAGCCATGTCCTCTCTGCGCGGCCTTGCGCGTGCGTCTCTGGGCACCTTGCCCTGAGCATCCACCGAATCTACAGCACGGGCCGTCAAGACTTGATCCTGGAATTGGGAGGAGGAGGAGGAGGAGGAGGAGGAGGAGGAGGAGGAGGAGGAGGAGGAGGAGGAGGAGGGGGAGGAGGAGGAGGAGGAGGAGGAGGAGGAGGAGGAGGAGGAGGAGGAGGAGGACGAGGACCAGGGACAACGTGAAGGGGGACAGATCTCCAATCGCCCACTGATCGCACACTGATCGCCCGCGGAGCCACCCGCCCATGAACGTCCGGATTCGCTGTCGAAGGCGTATCGCCGACATCTTCGCGACGAACCGCTGGTTCCAGGTCGATCTCCCCACTCCCCCTGAGCGTGCCCCCGTCCATCGTTCTCCGTCAGAGGAGGAGGAGGAGGAGGAGGAGGAGGAGGATGAGGAGGAGGAGGAGGAGGAGGAGGAGGAGGATGGAGGAGGAGGAGGAGGGGAAGGATGAAGACTCCCACCCACCCCCTCCACACCAGCAAGGCGGAGCGGCGCAGACACAGCCGAACGCCCAGCAGAGGAGGCAGAAGAAAAGTCGGGGAGGCAGGCGATGAGGGAGGAGAGAGGGGAAAGGGGGTAGGACTATTTGGGAGGAGAGCACCACATCCGAGGAGGAAACGAGCGCGTTCGCGAATGCACCAAAGCGAAACAGTTCAAACCTCGCTGGGCTCCTCGAGTTCGGGCGCGGCGGGTTCCTTCCCTCTCCTCTCCGGGACCCGCTGCCCGAGCCTGTCCTCCCGCTTCAGCACGGAGGGAGCACCCAAACAGGGCAAGCCCGCGGACGAGGGCGACCCCGCGGGAGGCGGAGGTGCAGGGGGAGAAGGTGGAAGAAGAGGGGTGGAGGCCCATTCCGTTGTTCTTGCCGCGGCGAAGGAAGCGGGTCTTGACGCAGACTGGCCATCGACCCAGGGGTCCTACCCCCTCGGGACGAGCCTATCATCCTGAGTAGCTTACTAGTGGCCCCGGGGCCTGGGGGAAAGCCTCGTGAGGCCCAAAGGCAATGTTCTTGTCCTAGGCTCAACGCTTGTACGGTAAATGCGTGCTGCTAGCACGGCCCCCTACGGGGCCTTTGAGGCGAAAAACGGTTGCGGAGTTTGGGAAGCCGTGCTGCAAACCCGTCCTTCCCGCCTGTGCTACACTGCGTATGCAACTACGCACGCAACGAATTCAGACTGATCTCCGCATGATGCTCGACGCAACGTCGCATGCATCACTGGATTTCCTAAACGGTGTTGCTGCAAGTGAGAAACAAGTGACACCCGTGCCCTGGCTCTTGCACCAAGGAGCTGTGAGGGACAGGAGGCTTTCGCCTCCTTCTGTTGCCGGGGGGGGTGAAGACGAACGACGAACGAACGAACGACGACGACGAACGAAAATACAGAGGTCCGAGCTCTAGAACACAGCTGTGCAAGAGAATAAATCTGGTCTTAAGTGCAACCCGCCTCTGGTCCCTGCTCACAGCTTGAGCTCGAGGGGGCGGGCAAAATGCCCCCTCCTGGCCCTGGCGAGGGCGGACCGGCGCCGCGGCTGGAGGGAGGGGGACAGGACAAGGGAGAAACGAAGGGAGGGCACGAGGGCACGAGGGAGAAATGCGGGGGTGGAGAAAAGGAGAACGGAAAAAGGATAGAGGAGGAAAAAGCGGGGGTAGGAAGGAAAAGGTTGTGGAGGACGATCAATGGAGAGGAAGCATGTTGCCAAATGAATTCCAGATGTCTGAAACATGTGTAAGAACTGTTTTAGAAATGTGGAACAAAGCATGTCTAAAACATTTCCAGGACATACTTCCCATCTTAAGCACGTATTCGATTCACTGATAGGACTGTTAGTGTCCATTGTCATGGCATTCACAAGGAAAAGGGGGGAGTGGGAGCAGGAGGAGAAGGAGGAGTCTGCCAAAGGGAGCCCGCTCCGGCGAAGTGGTGGCGGTATGCGGGCGAAGAAAAAAGAGGAGACCAGTGTAAACCCATGGCGCATCAACGATGTTGCAATACACCTTCCCTTCAAGTTCCCTCGTTCACAAATCCTTGCAATAATTGATTTTCATATTGGGAAGTGACCATTGGAAGACAACCGTCTGAGAATCCTCAATCGTGCCTAAACACCATTACGGGGAGTTTCAACACCTTGAATCAGCATGACTGCCGGTTCGTGACAATCCTCAACCGTGCCAGAACACGATTTCTTGAACTTCAGCGCCGCGCATCAACGTGACTGCTGCGTCCTGACAATCCTAACTCGTGCCAGCACACCCTTGAAGTGGTTGCAATATTTAGAACGGAAGCACGCGGCGCGAAGGCGAGAGCGACCTGTTGAAAAGGGCTCGCCTTCCATCCTCGAAACTGCGGCGATTGTTTAAGACGAGCGCGAACGGTGACGGTGCCAACGCGAAAAACACATGTTGGAAAAGGGCCACCCTCCACCCCAAAGCCTACTGCAAACTTTCAGGATGAGCGCGTGCGGCTCTAAGGCGAGAAGATATGTCGTGACTTTTCGCGTATCCCTACCAGCCCATCCAGGAACATATCGCCAGGCGAGTTGTCTTGCATCAATTGCTTTTGAAGTGTTTTCTCAGAAGTCTCTTGAAGCCACCGCGGGTCTCTCTTGGGGTCGCGCTGGCGCTTCGTGAGTGACACCGAACACATCCAGCAGTGTTCGCGGGGATGTCGGCATGATACATGTCGTGTCTGATCACGCGTCTAGGATTGGAATCAGATGTAGAGTACAGGCGGGACGCTGACGAAGGAGCCCTTTTCGTTGGGGAGGGGCTCGGTGTTCCTTAATTGTTCCACACCTTGCCTAAGGTTGTCCTTAAGTTTTCTATGGGAAGCCGATGTTTAATTTATGGAAAAAAGAGGCCTTGCTCCTTATTTAGGGTTCCTTAGGTCAACGCCCCGACTGTAATGCAGCCCATGTTCCCACGTTGTTTTTGCCATCAGGGCACGCTCTTGCATCTTCTGATGCGGGTAGCCCGTGGGGCCTCCTAACGCATCCATCTCGGGAGCAGGGGGAAAGAATAGCAGATGGTGTAAGAGGATCATGAGGAGGGCCTTCCAGGGGGTCCTCTTGGAGTTATCTTGGGAGTGTCAGCCAGAACGAATCGCCTTCTCGAAACCTCCTGGGGCCATCTTCGGCGTAGGAGGAGGAAGAGGAGGAGGACGAGAAAACAGAGGAGGCGGGGGAATGCGAGACATCGAAAGGAGGGAGGAGGCGTGAAGGGACGAAGGAAGTAAGGGACCCAGAAGCATTCAGTGGAACAGCCGCCTTGGAAGCGTTTCGGGGTCGCAGACACGGCAGTAACGTATGTTGAATCATTCAACAAATGTGTGCCCAACACGGCGGGTGCATTAGGGTCTTCCCGGGGCCTTATTGGAGTCATTTGGGGGATGCAAGGCAGAACAAATTGCCTTCTAACACATGTTGGGGTGATCCTCGGTGTGAGAGAGGATGAAAAGGAGCGCGAGGACAAAGGGAGAAAGAGGAAGAGGGAGGGAGAGAAGGAGGAGGAAGAGGAGGAGGAAGAGTGGGAGGAGGAGGTTGTTGTGTGAAGTGATGTGAGGACTCGGAAGGCCATCTCAGGGGCTCCCTGGGGAGCGGATGATGAGAAGGAGGATGAGAAGTCGGGCTGTGGGTATGTGTATATATATATATAGTTGTGAGAGTTTCTCGGGGGACCCTGAAGGCCATGTTCGCGGCTCTCCTTGTGTCTCTGTTGAGGGCCTCTTGGGGCTCTATTGGGGCTTCATTGGCGCCCTCTTGGGGCTAGTTATGTGGGTCTGCGCGAGGCCCCTTGGGGCCATCTTGGCCCCCGAGGCTCAAACAGAGAAGGGTCTTGAATTCAGCCCCCCCCCATCCTCGGAGGCTGAAGCCTGTCGTGTTGAGATCCATTGGAGCCGTTCTTGAAGCGCTTATGGGCGTACTTGGGGCCCTCTTGGGGCTCTGCTAGACCCCGCTTGGGGCTCTCTTGGGCTGTCTTGGGGCCATCTGCAGACCTCCAAGGTCCATCGGAAGCGAAAAGGCGAAAAGGCAGACTGCAACGATATACCTCAGGTGCTGGAGCCATGTTAGCCCCTTAGGGAGTTCCTTGGAGAACTCGAAGGGCCCTTCAAACCGTCTTGGGGTCGTCTTGAGGCGTCTTCGCGGCATGTCGGAGCCTTTATTGAACTTTCGACTGTATTGGGCCATCTTGGAAGCATCTTGGGCTCTCTGAAGCCCTCTTGGAACCATCTTGGGCCGTCTTGGGCGCTCTGGCCGATCGCGCCCCCCGCCCCTCCGAGGTCCAGGGTAGGGGGTAAGGGTAGGGGGAGAGGCAAGCTACCCACCCGCCCGCAAGCCGTCTAGCTCACTCACACCCGCCCTCCCAACACGTAAGTAACGCCCGAGCCTGAGCACGCTCAGCGGTCGTCTTCGGATGGACAGCTACTGGGAACCAAAGCCGACACCATGTGCGCGACGTTTGGGCGAGGTGCGCCAAGCGTGCCAGGGGCGCCACGCGCGCCAGGCACCCCTGGGGCCCGAGCGTGCCAGGCACGCCTGGTGCGCCAGATACGCCACGTGCTCCGAGTGCGCCAGGTGTGCCGCACACTCCAGCCGCGCCAGGTCCGTCATGTTCGGAGCACGTGCAGAGTGCGTCAGGTGCGCCTGCGCACGTGACAGCACACATCGGGAAACACGTCGGCCCCCGCCCATCCTTGTCGAAAACCAATGCCGATCGTTGTGTCTGGTGGGCCTGCGCACGGCAGGCCACGCGCCACCACCCCCGCGGTCCCTCTCAAAAACAATTTGACAGTGATCGCGGGATGGCCGCGCATGATCCAGATTTAGCCGCGAGGTGCATGTTGTAATGTTTTTGTCAGGAATGGTAGCCCTGCGCACGGCAGGGAATATGCTGGCACCTCTGCCGTCCCTGCCAAAAATAAGACAAAGTGTTCGCTGGCCTCACGAACATGACTCAAGACTTTGCCACAAAGTGTACTTTGCATTGGTTCTTGACAAGGATGGTGGGGGGGCGCATCGGGTTGGCCGCGCATGCTCCAAATGTGGAGGAAGAGTGCGGTATGTTTTGTTTTTTGACAGGGATGGTGGGGGGCGGGTCGGCATGGTGTCTTCATGGTTCCTGGTTGGACGCCAGTCGCCTGGGGGAGGGGGTGTATACTAATAAGGAACAATGATCAAGCTACTCGCCCGCCAGCAAGCCGTCTTGCTCACTTCCACCCGCCCTCCCAACACGTAAGTAACACACGAGCGTCAGCATGTCGCGTAAGAACGGCGCAGAAGCCACGGGCTCCAGATGCACCAAACACCTTGGAAGCCCAAGCGTGCCAGGCGCGCCAGGCACGGCACGTGCTCGACGCGCGCCCAGTGTCCCACGTGTTCCAGCCGCGCCAGCCACTGGGAACCAACAGGGGCTCCACTTGCGTGCGCCGCAGTTGATGCTACGCCAGCAGTTGCGCACGCCCCAGCGCATGCTTGTGGCTGCTGGCCACCGCGCGCGGCCCCCCTCCCCATCTACGCATGAGAAACAAACGCGCGAGAAGGCGCGCGGCCTGGCACGCCAACCAACTGGCGTGCACTGGACCATCCTCGTCGAAACGCAAGGCAGAGCGCACGCCAGGGCACTCGCACTCCCCAATCTGGTTGTAGGCTCCACTGCGACGTGGAATCTCCGCAGCGCCGCGCGACGCGCGCGGCCAGGCCCAGAAGGGGGCGGGTAACGTGCAGCCCCCCCCCCCTATCCAGGGCCAGCCACCCCTTCAGGGACCCTCAAAAAACCGCCTCTCGAGGCCCTCTTCGGGCCACCTTGGGGCGCTCTTGGGGCAGTCTTGGCGGCCTCGTGGTCCTGGCTTGGAGCTCTTTTGGGCAATGTTGGGGGCCACCTGGAGGCCGCCCCTTTCTGGGGTCCCCAGAACCGCCTTTGGGGGCCCTCTTGGCGCCAGCTTGGGGCGCTCTTGGGGCCAGTTTGGAGGCTTCTTGGGCCCGGCTTGGAGCTTTCTTGGCCACTTGTGGGAGCCAGCTGCGGGCTTCGAAAGCCCATCGAAAGCAAAAAGGTGAGACGGCATCGGCCACTGATTTGTCAGAGCAGTCGGTCGACCACCTGCGCCCAGAAGACAGTGGGATTTGTTGGCGCCCAGGCCGTCCTGGTTCAATTCCAGTACGAAGTGGTTGCGGGACGGCCGCGCATGCTCCAAATGTGGAGGCAAAGTGTGTTCTGCATTGTTTTTTGACGGGAGTGGTGGGGGGTGTGATCATGGGATTGGCATTGTTCCGAGTTGGTTGCTGGCCGGGTAGGGGAGGGGGTGTATGAGAATAGGGATGGCGATAAATCCCTCCCCGGAGCAGGGGAAGGAAGGATGTTGGCAGAGAGAGAGAAGACAAATTCCTTACACCACCTGTGCCAACAGGGCTGGTGGGATTTGAAGAGGATCCGCCCTCCACACTTAAAACTGTTGCTAAGTTTAACAAGACGAGTGCGCGCGGCGCTTAGGCGAGAGACACATATTGGAAAGGGACCGCCATCCTCCTTTAAGCATGTGGCATTGGTGTTAGATGAGTGTGCGCGGCTCTCAGGGGAGAGCCACAGTTCGAAAGCCACCCGCCCTCCACCTCTGAAGTTACTGCAAGCTCAAGCTCCAAAATCACAAATGGTGAGGAGGTCTCCGGCCAAACGCCCAGCCCACCCTACTGCCACGTCTCGGGGTGCGACAGGGAGGGGTCAGTGAAATAGAAGAGAGATGGAGGAAGAAAAGAAGGAGGAGGCGGAGGAGGGAGAGGAAAGGAGACAGGAGAAAGGGGGAAACAATGGCAGGAGCAGGAGGAGGAGGAGGAGCAGGGAGGAGGAGGGAGGAGGAAGCCCTCCCCCTTTCCTGTCCTGCCCTCCCCCCTCCCGCCCTTCGGAGGAAGAGGGGGAGGAGGAGGAGGAGGAGGAGGAGGAGGAGGAGGAGGAGGAGGAGGAGGAGGAGGAGGAGGACACCTCTCACCCTTTCCCCTCCCTCCTCCTCCCCCCCCCTCGGCAGCCGCGCTGCCCGTCTTTGTTTCTTCCTCTGCGATGCCACCCCTGCGGCGACGCCCCCCTTCCACGCGCGCCCCATTGGGGAGGGCGAAGCGGCAGCGCGCCCAGGCCCGCCGTCCGGCAGCTGCGGGGCTTCCGCAAGGTCGTGCTGCCGGCGGGGGGCACGGCCGAGGCTCCCCCCGGTGCTTTTCAGGAGGGATTGATCGTCGATTCCCCCGAAAATGTAGGAAAATATGGGAAGTGGGCGGGGAGACAAAAACCCAGAAAATATAGGAAAATATGGGGCATCTTTTTATTTGTCTGCATTTATTTGTGTGTCCCAGGGCCCCTTCAGGACGCCCGAAATTGTCGGGAGCCTTGCGACGGGGGTCAATGCAAACGGGGGTCAGCCAGAGCGCCCGATCTTGCAGGATCCAGCAGGGCCAGGGTCACAGTGACCTGGGCTTGGGCGCAGGATCCCGCAGGATCCTTGGCTTTGACCCGGGCTTGGGCGCAGGATCTTGCAGGATCCTGCAAGGACTGACTGACCGTGTCTGGATTGACCTGGGTCAGCAGATCCCCGCAATGGGCACGGAAAAAATGGGCACAATGTCCAACAACAAACGTTGTCCAAAACCTACAACGGCCGCTGTTGCGCATGCGGCTTTGTGTCTTCAGTGAACAACGTCCGCAGCGGCGCGGACAGCGAGTCTTGCTCAAAATGAACAGGAACTGATCTCGGGCATCGTATCCATTCTTTCCGTACCCCTTTCGATCGTCCCGAGGGGCCGCCGCGCTGCTGCGCCGCGAAGGGGGGCGGCCAGGACACCCAGCGTCCTGATCTAGGCCTCCCTGATAGGGGTCCGAGTCGAGGGGGTCGAGGACCGCGCCGCGTCGCCGATGCAACGACGACGCGGCTCGATGTGGAGCCCGTGGTTCCCCACGCCGACGCCGCCGATGCATCGCCGATGCATTGCACATATATCGGCGGAGCAGTGGCGATGCGGCGCGATCCTTCGAACCCATCTACCCGGACCCCATCGAGGAGGCCTTTACTCGGGGGCGGAAAAGAGGGGGGTGATGACTAGGGGGGGGATATCATGGCGGGGGCCATAATATTTCCTCAGATTTCATGGCGCCTCTGCTCATTTCATTACGTCCCTGGCCCCCCCGCTGGGCCGCGCACATGCCGCCGGTCATGATTTGCACCCCCCCCTCTTGGACACCCCCCCTTTCTGCACGCACGAAATGGGCACGGAAACAATGGGTACAATGCCCAACAGCGGATCTTGTTCATTTTGAACAGGACTCGCTGTCCAAGCCGCCTCAGCCTGTGCCCATTCGAGACAGAAGGCCGCCTGCCCAAACAGCAGCCGCTGTTGGTTTGGGACAACATTTGTTGTTGGGCATTGTACCCATTTTTCCGTACCCATTTCGGGCGTCCAAATTCTTGGCCGCTCCCGATTTACTTGAGAAATCACCTCGGAGGCTTCTCGTGGTCTCGGTCTCCGTGGGCCCTCGCCAGGCCCCGGGGCTGCCCAGGCCGCCCCCCGGGTCTGGGCGACTGGCTCCGAGTGGGGGTCCTGGTCGGCGGGGATGCCGCCCTCACAGCCACCAGGGCGGCGGAAGAAGGACCAGCTTGGGTACCCTGGGCCGTTCCTCGTCTTGCAGCCGCGCCGAGGCGCCGCTCTTCTGGACCTGGGCTCGGGGCAGAAGGGTCGGGGCACGCGCGACGGCCGACGACTTCTACCTGTCTCAGCTGACGCGTGGCGCGGGTTATGCATCAGGTGTGCCAGGCCAGTGAAGACGCAGGCGCAGGCGGCCCTGCGCCTGCGTCTTCACTGGGCTCGGGGCACTCTTGGCCTCTTCTTCGGACCTGGGTCGGGGAGCTGCGGCCACCAGGAAAGCCCCCTCTCCCGCTTCTGCTTCGGCTTTTTCCTTCTGGCAGCACGCTGGTCCGTGGGTGGTGGCGCCCCGTGCCTTCGCCGCCATCGGCGCGCGCGCCGCTGGGCCAAGAGGGGGGATGCACGGGGCGTCGGACGCTCCTGGGGGGAGGGAGCAGGGGGAGGCCCCCGCGGGGGATGGCGGCGTGCATACACCCGCTGTTTCCGGATCTCCTCTGCCCCCGTCGGAAGACGGGCTGAGGGCGTCTCTTGTGGCACGTCAGGCTTCGGCTGGAGCCTTGAGGCGAATCCCGGCGTGGCAACGGGACCAAAAGGGCGGGAAACGCCCACCAGGGGTGGTGGGGAGGCGGCGGCCCCGGAGGGGAAGCGGGAGCAGGAGGAGGACGGCCCCACTGCCAGAGACTTGTTTGGGACGAGGCCCTGCCTGCCTCGCCGCCGGTAACGGGGCTCGCGCCGGTCTCGGCCTCGGCCCTGGCTCGGACGGGGCTGGGGCGAGGATCAATCCGCTCCAGATGTTCCGGAACGCTGTTGAGGAGGCCACGGCGCCCAAGACGTCCCCCAGAGCCGCCGGATCTCAAAGATTCTCCACGCCTCCTCACCTCATGTTATCCTCGTCCTGGCTTGGTGCTGCGCCTGGCCACCCCTGCCACTCGCCTCATCCAGTCTCTTGGAGTGCAGGCCCTGGCGGCCCCTGGCCAGAGGGGAAGCTGCGGCTGCTGCAGCCGCAGGCTTGCTTTGATTGATTATGTTACGTTCTGCCCTGGGGGGCTCTTGGAATGCAGGCACTGGCAGCCCCTGGCCAGAGGGGAAGCTGCGGCTGCTGCAGCCGCAGGCCTGCTTTGATTGGTTATGTCACGTTCTGCCCTGGGGGGCCCCGAGGAACACTGGCCTCGGCCCCTGGCCTCGGCGCCAGCTGTGGCTCAGGCCCCGGCCACGGCTTCGGTCTCGGCCCTCTGCCCAGGGGTGTCAGCACCGCCGCGCCCCGTGCGGGCGCGCCACGCCGCGAGCGAGGGGGAGCAGACGCTGGGCGGGGAAAAGAAGGGGGCCCAGTGGTGGGGGAAGGGGCCCTGGGACACACAAATACATACACAAATAAAAGGATTCCCATGATTTCCCGATATTTTCTGGGTTCTTGTCTGACCCCCCACTTCCCATATTTCCAATATTTTTTCGGGAATCGACGATTAATTGTGTCTGTGTGTTTTTTCCCTCCTGAGTGGGGGAAGATGGTCGGGCCGGCGGTGATGGGGGGGACCTAAAGGAGACCTCTAGGGTTAAGTCGAGCCCGTCCCCCCACAGGTGGATTGTCGACGAAAAATTAAAGATACTCAAACATAGTCCAAAAATAGTCTGGGGACTATTTTTTGAATATTTGTTTGCCTTTTTGGTGCATTGTTGGGGTATTTTTTATTTTTCGTCGAAATCCCCCTGTAGGGGGACAGGCCCGACTTAACTTTGGGGACCCTTTTGGCGCCGGCAACGGGGCCCAGAGGCCTCCTTCAGGGCCTTCTCTTCACCCTCCATGTGGGCCACCCCCCATTTACCACCCGCCCGACGGGAGCGGGGCGGGAGAAAGGAAGGGGCGGGGATGGTGAAGAAAAGTACCCTAAAGGAGACCTTTAGGGTTAAGTCGGGCCTGTCCCCCTACAGGGGGATTGTCGACGAAACACAAAAAATACACCAAACATAATCCAAAAATAGTCCAAGCATCGTCTGAGGACTATTTTTTAAAATATTGTTTTGCCTTTTTGGTATATTTATGTTTTTTATTTTTCGTCGACAATCCCCCTGTAGGGGGACAGACCCGACTTAACTTTAGGGCCCCTTTTTGGCGCCGGCAACGGGGCCCAGAGGGCTCCTTTGGGGCCTCTCCTTCACCCCCCCCCAATTTGGGCCACCCCCCCATTTACCACCCGCCCGACGGGAGCGGGGGCGGGAGAAAGGAAGGGGCCCGGCGGCGGGGGCAGCTGGGGAGGGCCGCGTAACTAGTGGGGAGCGGGGGTCCCAGACCCCCCCCCTTCGCGCTGCGAGACGACTCACGGCGTGAGGTTTTTGTCGCTACGATCGGCCTCTGGGGGCGCCTGCCGGGCCCTGTCGGGCCTGTCCCCCTACAGGGGGATTTCCGACGAAAAAGAAAAGGTACCCCAAAAGTAGTCCAAAAATAATCCAATCGTCTGGGGTTTATTTTTAAAGTATTTGTTTACCTTCTTGGGGTATGTTTGGGGTATTTTTTATTTTTCGTCGAAAATCCCCCTGTAGGGGGACACGCCCGACAACCCTGGGGCCGTCAGCCAAGAGACTCATGAGGAAAAACCGGTCCCGGGGAAGGGGCCCAGACCTCTGGGGGTCGACGCACCGACAAGAGTCACGGCGGGCGTCGGGGGCCTGGGGAGTGGGGAGGCCAGCCCAGGCCTCTCCCGCTCCTGGAGGTCCGACGTCGGACTTCTGAGCGTCGCCTTCGCGGCAGGCTAATCCTCAGGAGAGGAAAAAACACACAGACACAATTAATCCTCGATTCACCCAAAAATATGCGAAAATATGGGAAGTGGGGGGAAGACAGAAACCCAGAAAATATGGGAAAATATTGGGAATACGTTTATTTGTGTGTCCTGGGGCCCCTTCAAAATCTCATGGGGACCGTGCCCGGGTCCGCAAGTCCTCTCGAGCACCGCTGGAGCTGCCCCATCCGGGGCGGCCGCCGCCTGGGCGCGCAGGCCTGGCGGCCAGCAGTGGGGACCAGCGCGACAGGCTGAGCCGTCGCCCACCCCACCCGCCCCACCAGCCCCGGCCCGCCAGCTGTCGGGAGGCCGAGGGGGAGGGGGGGGCTCACATGAAAATTGGAATTGGCCTCACATGAAAATTGGAAATGATCTCAATGTCGGGAGGCCGACATTGAGATCATTTCCATGGAACATTGGGCTCACATTGAAGTTGGACGCACATTGGAATTGGGGTCATCGAAAGTTGGGAGGCCGAGGGGGAGGGGGAGGACGATCCATGGAGAGGAAGCATGCTGCCAAGTAAGTTCCAGGCGTCTAGAAGATGTTTCAAACATGTTTTAAACATGCAAAACAAACATGTTTGAAACAGTTGTAGAACATGTATTTCACATGTGAAACACATAGTTCGTTCAATGATGGGATTGTCAGAGTGTCCATTGTCATGGCATCCACAAGATCATGGATCAGGGCGGGCCCCCCGAAATGTGAGGCCAGTGGCGCCCGATTTGGCAACGGCTCGCGCCGATTCTGCACGGAAGCGGGACACGTCGCTGATCCACGCGTCGCTGATCCATGTTCGCGTTACCTCCAGAGGTAAGGTGAGAAGTCGAAGGATGATGTAGGGACAGGAGGCAGTGACCTGACCTGTCACCGCAAGGAGCCGCGCATATATTTGGGCTTCTCGGGAGCCTTTGGGGGCCTGTTCGGGGCCGCATAAGCCGTCCTCGGGCGTTCCTGGCCCGTCAGACGCCGTCGGTAGCAGTCTTGGATGTCTCTCTGAACCGACGTGGGGCCCTCTTGAGGCGCTTCAGGGCCGTCTTGGAGGTCATCGTGGGCGTCTTGGAGGCCTCTTGGGGCCATCTTGGGGCCGTCTTGGAGGCTTCTTGGGCATTCATGAGGTCACCTTGGAGGCCTTCGGGGCCACTGGGGCGAGCTTGGGGGGCCTCTTGGGCCGTCTTGGGCTGTCGGAAGGCGGCCGACAAGAAGCAAATGCTACAGTAAATGCTTAGATGAGGCCAATGATTTTGGCCTCGTCGGCCCTCCTAGGAAACTCTTGGAGGCCACTTGGGCCGCCTGGGTGGCCTCTTGGTGGCCGTCTCGGGTCGTCTTGGAGGCTTCTTGGGCGCACTTGGAGGCATCTCGGACACCTTGGGCCGTCTAGGAGGCCATCTTGGACCATCTTGGGCGAACTTGGAGGCCATATTGGCTCATATTGGGCGAACTTGGAGGCCCTCTTGGGGCCGTTTTCGAGACTTCTCGGGCCGTCTTGAGGTCATCTTGGAGGCCTTTGGAACCGTCTTGGGGCGATCTTGGGGGCCTCCTGGGCCGTCCTGGACAGTCGGGAGGCCGAAAAGAAGCAACGACCAAACTCCTTCAAACACCTAAAGAAAACAAATGATGTTGGCCTCTCCAGGCCCTCCTGGGAAACTCTTGGAGGTCTCTTGGGTCGTCTTGGAGGCTCGCTAGGCGCTTTTTGGGTCGTCTTGGGTTGTCACGGGGGCTTCTTGGGTGGACTTGGAGGGATCTTGGGCCATCTTGGGCCGTCCTGGAGGCCATCTTGGACCCTCTTGGACCTTGGGCCGTCATGAGGTGATCTTGGAGGCTTTGGGGGACACTGGCGATATTTGGGGCCTCTTGGGCCGTCCTGGGCTCCTGCAAAGAATTAATGCATGTAAGTGATGTTGGCCTTATCGGGCCCTCCTGGGGGACTTCTTGGAGGCCACTTGGGCATTCTTGGAGGCATCCTGGGGGCCTCTTGGAGCAGTCTTTGGTTTTCTAGGTGGCCTCTTGGGCGGACTTGGGCCCGCTTTGGCCGTCTTGGAGGCCATCTTGGACCATCTTTGGCGAACTTGGAAGCCATCTTGGGCAGTCTTGGCAGTCTTGGAGGCCATCGAGGTCGTCTTGGAGACGTTGGTAGCGCAGCGGCGGGGCCTTCTGGGTGTCCAGCGGCATGGACCGAAGCCCCAGGGGGGTTCCTGTAGAACACAACGAAAACCAAGCCGTGGGATCTAGCACGCCAGGCCCCCCTGTGATAAATCAACAGGGGGCGGCGGATCTAGTGGTGTCGATCCTTTCCGTCACCACGCCTACGTTGTAGATCAGAGGCCTTTTGGATGCCTGTGGAGATCTCTTGGGAAGCCTCTCGGGAGCGTCTCGGAGACGGTTTCGGGGGCCTCTCCAGGGCCTCTCTAGAGTTTCTTAGGGACTGATTGGGCCTCTTGGGGGCCCCCTGGAGCATCGTAGGGGCACCTCGGGGACCTCTCTGGTGCACATACGGCCACCTTGGAGCGGATGGCTCGTAATGACCGTTCTGCTTCCGTCTCTAGGGCGCATCCTGGGGCCGCCGTCATGGGGGCATCTTGGACACGTTTCGGACCCTCTTGAGCCGTTTTGGAACCCTCGTTGGAGCTCGTTGTGCCGGTTTGATACGATTTGGAGGGCCTCATGGGTTGTCTTGAAGCGCTGGCAGCCCGAAAAGCCGAGAACACTACATTCATTCAATTCAAAACCCGACGACACCTCAATGATGTTGGCTTCTCAGAGCGCTCTTAGAAGTGCTCTTGGAGCCCTGTTGGCGCGTTTTGGGAACCCCTTGGGCCGTCTGGAGGCCAATCTGGGCGCATTGGACCGCTCGTTCGGCGACTCTGGGCCCTCCTGGGCCGTGTTGGGGAACTCTTGGGGGCCTCTTGGCCCGCCTTGGAGCTCTCTTGGTTTCCTAAAAAGCCGCGCGACGACGTGCGGGGAGACGCGGAAGGTACGCGGGAAGCCCCAGAGAAAGCGTCGAGTTTGGGCCGTGTTTTGTTATCATTGCTTCACTCAGGACTGAGGACGGAAAATTCCACGGGAGCTGAAGACATTCCAACTCGTATTTCGGGGCATGGTGGCGGTTATATGTACAAATTTACACACGCGTTCATTCCGATGCACGGTGGGGGCTTTGGAATGGACCAAGCCACGCCGAACACAGCCCAGTTCCCCTCAACAGCCCAGGTTGTAGTCCCCCCCTGCTTGTGTTCCTCCTCCCCTCTCCTCTTCTCTATCTTCCATCGAGGTTGTCCCGCATGGCTTTCCCGGCGGTAAGAGCCTCGCGCCCCCGAAGCGTCCAGAGAAGTTGCGCCTCCAATCTGCGGCGCGGCCAGGTGACGTTCGTCCTCCGCGAAGAGGATTGGCGCTTCTACGACGCGCCCGCCGCCTAGCCCCGGAAATCTCTTGTGCGGAAGCCACTTGGACGTCCCAGCGTTATGCGTAACATTAGTGAGCTCGGCACAGCCCAGGTCCCAAGCTGCGTGCATGTGCGTGAGGGCATGCATGCGCGTTGCAATGCAGTGCAACGAAGTACAGCGCAACGAGGCGCCAGGCAATTCACAGCACGGCACAGCATGGATGCGTTTCAGTGCATGACGCAGCTCAGCCTGCCACGGCAAAGCAGCGCTGCACTGCGTCGAATTACCATGGCGTGACCGATCGCGTCGTCGTGCAGCACGGAATGCCAGTACGCACGGTGACATGGTACGGCTTGGTACAGCGTTGAAGACCAGTGCATGGCATGGCACATCATAAACAAGAATGACCTTGCATAGGCAAGCTCGACCTCAAATGTCATAGCAGAGCATAGCAGCATGACATTGCATTCCAAGACTTGCGTAGCATGGCAAATTAGCGCACGGCCTGGAATGATGTAGCATAGGCCAGCTTACCCTACCACTGCCTGGCATGTCAATATGTATAGCATAAGTACAAACCTGTCTTCAAGTTGTAGCTATACAAGCACAGATAAAACCCACAATCAAACAGGCAACATGATGGAACCTGCATGCCGTTCTTAACACGCCATGTGTAGAGCATGGCATGTCAATCGTACATCACTGGCGTAGAAGAGCACCGCCAGGAAGAGCTTCGCGCCACAAAACAAAGTAAGGCCTCCTTTGGCTAGCCTGAGTTGAAATTCAAACCAGCCGTACCTGAGCTTCCCTCTGGCAGTACAGCTACGTTTGCTTGGGCCGAGTTTGTTCGAAGCCTGGCTGGCGAATCCTCTCTTACGCTCAACTCCTGTCCCGATGTCTGGCCATTTGCAGAGGTGGAAGGCGCGCGGGAAGGGTATGGCGCACACATTGGAGGTGTCCAGCATGCTTTTTCAGACTGACTCGGATTTGATTTCTGGCAGCGAGTGCACCATCTTGGGTTTGCTTGCGCTCTGGACCCAGAATGCGATCTTCCCGCAGGAAAGAACCTCTTTCAGACCTTCATGTGCAATCGTTGGTTCTTCAAAGGCCATTTGTCCGTGCTTGCGCAGTTCGGCGACACTGTCATGTGAGCCGTTCGCAGTTTTCAGTTTTACGCCTTGCTTGCGCCGCCCGTTATACTGATTGAGGTCTGCAGGTGAGTGGCGTTCTGCTGTCCAAGAAGGCGACACTCCTCCCTCCTTCTGTTTTTTGCAAGCTGCAATGCGTGTCCCGGCTGGACGAGTACGAATCTGCGATGTCCGTTGCCCTGTCAATTGTTTCGGCGTAGTGTTGTCGAGATCAACACCTCCAGAGGAGTCGCAGCCGTCACTGGCGTTGGAGATGTGATCGCCCCTCACAGGATAGTCGTGAGAATCGGCGTGTATTGTCCACTGACGGCGCGCCGCACGCATCGACAACAGGGCGCGCGCGGATACTCTCGGCAGAGGATGCCTCGTCCCCCCGGCCCCTCGGAGCCCTTCGCAGGCCATGGTGACGCACCAGCGCTCCCCAGATCTTCTACGTCGTGACTTTTCACGACGCGGACCCCCCCCAGAGGTCTAGAGGCATTCCCCAGGACCGGTTCTTCATCCCGAGATGTCGTTGTGTGACGGTCTCGGGGCCCGGCGAGAGCCCCCGGAGCCCGAAGATTGCCAAAGACCTCCCGTGGAGAGATTTGTTGTTCACGACGGGAGCAGGCCGGAATCTGTCGGATGTCCACCCGTTGTTGTTCAAACCCGCTTCGACCCCATGACAACGCCTCACGCCGCCGAGAATGCGGGAGTGTTCTGGCCAACCTCGACGAGGGGTCTTGGACCCCAGCGGGCCTAGAGGAGCAACGATTTCGAACTGGAGCCGGACGTTTTCTGCCGCTGGCGACCGAGGAGGCCAGACATGGCGTACAGATCCTCTCTTTGTGCGTGGAGGCCTGTGAACTCCACCTCCTCCTACTCCTCCTCCTCCTCCTCCTGCTCCTGGGATGTCATCGGAGGCCGCGCAGAGGATGAAGCCTGAGTGCAATGCCTTCTCGGACAATGGAGGGGAGGGGCTGGCGCTCCAAGGCCTCTGCGCTCCCAGTGGCTCCCAGAGCCCTCGAGGGCTGCTCGCAGGCGCTCGAGAGGCCTCCGAGCCTCCCGGAGACCCCCGCGTCCGAGGGCCACCGGGTAGCTTTCTCGGAGGCCGCGGCACCTCTCGCAGGGGACTTCGTCACCGTGCACGTGGGCAGCTCCTCCGCGGACCTGCTGTGGAGTGAGACCCTCTCCTGCGACTTCGTCGCGCTGAAGGACTCCCCGCGCGGGCTTCGTGCCCGCTCGCGCCCCTGCCCCCCTTATGGCAGTCGCGAGCGATGAGCACCTGCTGGAGCAGGGGCCCCCCTCTGCCCGGCCGACCCTCTCTCGGCACCGCCCTGGCGCTTCTGCACCACGTGGCCCTCCGGAAGGTGTCGTGTCCTTCCGGGTGTCCTCTAGGCATGGGCCGGGGTTGCCGGCCTGGAGGCGAAGGCCAGGGGCAAGGATGCGGTAGGTGTGCACAGTCAACAACCCGAATAAGGACGCGCGACTTTGCTCGGGGTACCCCTGCGTCCCTGCTCTGCCTTGCTCTTGCGTTCTTGGGGTTTTCGTCGTCCGCCGCCCCAAAAATCCCAACTTCGGCTTCCAAGGGTCTCGCGTCCTCACCGCGCGTCCTTATCAGGGTTCTTGACTGCAGGGGCTGTCGACGTCGCGGCGGCCCCCGCGCGGGCGGTCAAGGCCGAACGCCGCGAGTGGCTCGGACTCGGCCGACGCCACATGAGCTGCGCTGTCGCGAGGCCGCGATTTGCTCCCCGTGGAACGCTCCCCGCGCTGTCAGAAGCCAACGCCGCGGTCGGACACGAATTTGCAGTACGGTCTCGGGCCCTCGACGTCGCGGTCGTTGTCTCGACGAGGGGTCCAGGAGCTCGCGACGACCCAGCCTCTTCGGCACGACTTGCCTGGTACGCCACGGGTGCCGGCACAGGGGCCGAGGCTCGCCGTGGCCAGATGAGCTACTTCTTCGTTCTTTTAGCGTTCGCCATGGTGGCACGATGTTTGTAGAAGGGCGGCGACGGCGACGCGCCGCCAACAACGACGGCGGCGACGGCAACGATGAGCTCTTGGTCCCCCGCGGCCCCGCTCGGAAGGACAATTCGGGCCTGCTGCGGCCGCTCGTCATGGGTGGCCGCCCCCCAACCGCCCCGCCGCCGCTGAAGAGGGTCAGAGGAGGAGAATCTACCGATGTCGCAGCTCGTTCTGGTAAGTCCTCGTCGCCACGGCTCGATACCTCGGGATCTTGGTCAGATGTGTCCTGGGATAGGTCCAGGGACTAGCGGTACCAGTACCTTCTAGTCTCCTCGCGAGAGGCGGAGGGGGGGGGCGCGCATGCGCGAGGCCGGCCAGGGCGTGAGTCCTTTACCCACTGCCAAGATCAAGACCAGCCTGGAGGAGGAGGACAGGGAAATGGAAGAAGACGGCGCGGAGCAGTGTGTTAACGATCTTCCCGCGGAGTTGGGTCCTCGTCTGCTCGCGCCACTCGCCCGCCTCCCCCTATCCCGCTTCTTCTCTCTTCCTCTTCCTGCTGATTGTGCTGCCGCTGCTGCTGCGCTGCCACTGCCAGTGCCGCTGCCCTGCTGCTGCCATTGCCTGCCGCCAATGCTGCTACTGCTCCCCATGCTGCCGCCGCGCTGCCAGCCTCTGCATACCGCGCCGATTTCCCATGTCAGCAGAGAGACACGCACACACAAGCACACACACACACAAACACAAACACAAGCACACACACACATATATATATATATATATATAATACACACACACACGCGCACGCACGCACGCACGCACGCACGCACGCACTCTTACACACACGCACACACACGCACACACACACACACAAACACACGCGCGCACGCACGAACGCACGCACGCACGCACATACACACACACACACACACTCACACGCACGCACTCTTACACACACGCACACACACGCGCGTGTTCCTCCGACGCGCGGCTGAATTCAAACCACGGACGCATGACAAGGGGATATGAATAACACGAATAAGTTTCTTTGTAAAGAAGTGCGGGGTCAGGGAGCCAGGAAGGCGAACGTAGGCACATCCAGGATCGAAGCACCGCGCGGTGATGGAAAACGGGTAGTGCAGTGGCGAAGCCACCGAGCGCTACCAGAGGAGGCGGGTAAAACTACGCACGCACGCACTTCTGTCATCGAAGCGATCGTTGTCTCAGATCGCGCGCCGCACACACACGTACGCACACACACTTTTTTCGAGCGTCGTAGCCCAGGGCAAGCCGCTGCGCGTCCGTAGACACACACACACACACACACACGCACGCACGCACGCACGCACGCACGCACGCACGCACGCACGCACACACACACACACACACACACACACACACACACACACACACACACACACACACACACACACGCACACGCACACACGCACACACACACACACACACACACACGCACATGCGCGCGCGACGCGCTTCGCACCCTCAGGTACAGACCAGCCATGTGTGGGCGCTCCCATAGCCTCGCCGTGCTCAATCCGGCAAACCTCTTAAACATTTCGTGCCACGAGGAGCCCCAATTACGCGCCAAGTGTGTATGTGCGTGTGTGTTTGTGTGTGTTGTTTGTGTTGTGTGTGTTGTGTGTTGTGTGTGTGTGTGTTCTGTGTTGTGTGTTGTGTGGCGTGTGTTGTGTGTTGTGTGTTGTGTGTCGTGTGTTGTGTGTGTGGTGGGGAGGGGGGGTAGGGCGATCGCAAACTTAACGTCGCTTCGCCCACTTCGGCACACTCCACCTCGGCATGTGCTCACACGGTTCGCATAGCGTCGCCCCGTTCATGTCGGCACACCCTGAACGACCCGGCCCCCAAATGGAACCCCATGCCCAGGCCAGGCGCAGGCGTTCGCACCGCGTCACTGCGTTTATTGGAGACGCCCTGCAGCCGGTTCCGCCGACCCTGCAAGGGGGATCGGGAGGCCCCCGGAAGGCCGCGAGAGAGCCGTGAAGCGCACGAAGGCAGGCCGACGATTTCTCCGGATTCCACAGTAAAGTGGTGGGGGTCACACATTTGGGGGGGTCTGATTTGAGCTGTCTTGAGGGTTCGGGGGGGGTCTGGGCAAAGGGCCGCTCTTTCGTGGAGGGTCTGGGGGGGTCTAAAACTTCTCGTCTGAGAGGGTTGTGACCCCCTCCCTTTTATTACGAAATCTGGAGTAGATCAGAACCGCTCGAAGAGCGCCGCGAGGCTGGACAGAGACAGAACACCGTGTCGCCTCTGTCCCCTGGCCTTCGGCCCATCTTGCGCAGCCTTCACGACTCGGCCCCCACAGGGGACCCCATGGCTGGGCCAAGTGGAGGCGTTCGCACTGCGCTGCCGCGCTTATGGCGGGACACCCCTCACAAAGCTCGTGCCCCACAGGGAGTTCATCGCTACGACTCCCCTCCTGACTTCTTCGCTCATAGTCATTGAGTAATCATTTCCTCGTGCTCATGGCCCTCCTCTGCCGCATGTCACTCACCGTCACTATTTCTCGTCCTCCTCCTCCACGCTCCGCCTCCCTCGTCCTGATCCATCCCTCTCCCCGGCACTCCACACGAATACGATGCGGGGCCCAGCCGCGTGAGTGATGTCTGGTTGCTTGCATCGTGCTAGCCGGTGACAGCTTGCGCTGAGCCACTAACGAGGGGTTGAGATATGGTATGCAATGCCGATCCCCTTCCAGGCGCCCCATGAAAGCCCTGACTGAAGCTCCCAGGGCAACCATAGGAATGATCCGCGCAATGGGTCTTCTTGGTGCCAGACGCGAATGCGACAATGTGGGAGCCACCTTGGGCGGTAGATGGTGGAGTGGTGCTCTGTCAGGGCTCCCTCCGGGATGGGAGTCCGTGCGCCGGGGGGAGCCCCGACCAGCGCGGGCACGGCGTGCGTTCGCCCCCTCTCCGGGACTCCTGTTGCCTGAGCCCTGAGGGGCGGGAGGGCTCCCGTGACGAGTGGCCCCCGAGAGAGGCCCGCCCCAAGCGCAGCGCGCCCGCCCGCGCCAGAGACCCGCGCGGGAGGTCGCCGTGCAGGCCGGCAGCTCTCACTGCGAGGGGGGGGCCCAAGACGGGCCTGGGCGCAGTGCGGGTCCACGCCCAGTGGAGTCGCGTTGGAGTTTTTTTTTTCTCTCTCTCTCTCTCTTTCTCTCTCTCTCTCTCTGTCTCTTCGTTCGCGGATCAACGCTTGTCTTCGCAAGGGGTGGCCCCGAACCGGCCCAGGTGCACAGCACATGCCCGCCCCTGATGGAGCGGTGTCGGCACTCCCCGCTGGGGTGGGAACCTCCACGAGGGTGGCCCAGGAGGAGCAGGACGGAGTGGCTTCCCCTGGGTGGACAGGAAAACGACGCGAAGATCGGGACAAAATCGGATCGGGATAACTCGAAATCTCTGAGAATCGGCGGGTCTGGAGGATGTATTGGGCGCCGCGGCCGCTCCAGAGCGTTCCGGAACGCTCTGAGAGCGCTCCGAAACGCTCTGGAGCGATTTATCCCGATCCTAGCCCTGTTTTAGACAGAGTCCGGTAGCTCTGTTTGGCCCCTCTTCTGATGGCTGTTCCGAGGCAGCTGGCGGCTCGGCTCAATAAAGGCTCTTGCAACCTGCGAGCGCTCTGGCCAAATCCCGCACTCCGCGAGCGGGAGCTTGTTCCAACACGCCATGGGCGCAGGGCAGGACGGCAGGGTCCCGGCAACCCTCTCAACACACCTCTCTCGCGTGTCGGGCAGAGTCCGCAGGCGGAGCAGGAGAGGACGGGCCTCTCGCAAGGTGCTCTGGCCACGTGGCTCTCACAGATCACGCGATCGGCCACGCGGATGCCAGACATGAGTAGGAGGGAGGAAGCAGGGAAGGAGGAGGAGAGAAACGAGGCGGGGTCTCGCGAAAGTCATAAGTTCAAGGTGGGCAGCAAGGTGCAAGGCTGAGGGTAAGGGGTGGACCAGGAAGGCTTGGCTCGGCGCCGAGTGCAGCTCGAGACGAGGACCCAACAGCAGGGTCTTCGATCCAATCGATCCGATTCGATATCGCTGTTGGCCAGCTCCATACGGTGGCCAGCTCAATCCGATTCGGTTCTGACATTCCGACGATCCGAAGCGGCCCGCTACTTGTATGACGATGATGTGTCTCTTGGCGCGGCCGACCTGACTTGATCCCGACGTCGTGCCGATGCAGGCCGCTACGACGCACATTTCGATGCGACCCGGCGTCCTGATTCGACGCCGGCTGATCCTGCCAGCAGCAGAGCCTCTGTCGAGAACGACGCACAGGAGTGGAGTCCGTAGACCTTCGGCTCCGCACGGCCCTGCAGCCCCGTCCTGCCATGCAGGGCCCAGGCGCTCATGGACGCCGCCCCGCCCGGGGTGCCGCCCCTGCTCCTGCAGTGGCTGCGCAGGGAGGCTGTGCGCAGGACGTGCCGGGCGCTGCTGCCGGCGAGGGAGCCCGGCCTCTTCCAGCAGAGCGTCGAGGCCGCGGTGTGGGGCTTCCTGCGCCAAGCCGTGCGCGTGCCGCGCGACTGCGCGAGCGTGGGCGCGGCCCTGGCGCTGGCGCCGGCGTGGCCGCCGAGCACCGTGCTCGTCTCGCCGGGGTCGTACACCGTCACCGCACAGCTGGCCCTGAGCGGCCCGGTGGCGCTCGTGGCGGAGCGCCGGGGTGAGGCGACGCTGGTGAGCGCGGGCGGGGCCGTGCCGGTGAGGTTCGCAGCGGACCCGCAGGCGCTGGTGCCGCCAGAGGTGCGCGGCTTCCGCATCGCCAGCGAGCGCGAGTGCGTGGCAGTGGACAGCGGCGCCGCGCGCCTCGCGGGCTGCCGTCTGTCCTCGCAGCACGGTGGCGGCGTCGTCGTGTCTGGGTCTGCGAGCGCCGCGGTGGTCGACACCCATTTCGCTGACATGAAGAAGACAGCGGTGGTATTCCGCGAGTCTGCCTCGGGCCTTGTCAGGCGGTGCTCGTTCGAGGCCAACCACCGCAGCGCCATCGACGTCCGCGACGACGCGACACCAGTCGTGGAGGACAACAGATTTACTAGCAACCGCCTTACTGCAATCGTCCTCCGCGACCGCGCGGCCGGCGTCATCAAGGCTAACACCTTCGAGGGCAATCAGGGCGGCGGCATTCACCTGGTCAATCAGGCCCACCCGCTCGTCGAGGGGAATACCCTCCGCGTCCACACGATGCCAGCCATCGTGGTCGGCCAGGATGCGTGCGGCGTGATAGCGTCCAACCTCCTGGAGGGGAACCTGGGCATCGGCATCCTGGTCAGCGGTGCCGCGCGGCCCACGATACAGGGCAACCGCTTCCGGGAGAACCGCAAGCACGCCGGCAGCTCGCAGGACAGGCTCCGCATCGACGCGCAGGTCCAGTGCCTGAGGACCTCCGCCGCGGCCGCGTCCACGGCCGCGGCGGCCGATGCGGCAGAGGCCGGCGGCTCCGTGCCCGCGCCCGCTGTCCTTAAGGCGCGGGCCGCGGCAGCGGCCGCAGCGGCCGAGGCCGCAGACGCCGCGGATGCGGCGAGGGCGCTGGGCCAGGCGCCAGTCACCAAGGGGGCATACCGCGCGGCCCTGGTCGTCCAGGATAAGGCTGCGCCGTGCGTGCTGGGCAACACCTTCGATGGCAACGACGGCTACGGCATCCTGGTGCGCCACACCGCCAGCCCCATCGTAGAGGGCAACGAGGTGAGGGGGCAGCAGAGGCCTGGTACGGGCATCGCTCTCCGGGACCAGACCCGGTGCCTCGTGCGGGGCAACCGGCTGTCAGATAACGAGGGCTGTGGCATCCTGGTGTGTGAGGAGGCGAAGCCTACTGTGGAGAACAATATGTTGGAGCGCCATGGGAAAGCGGCCATCATGCTTACTGCAGCAGCTGGCGGCACTGTGCGGGGTAACAGAGTTGTTGCCCGATCAAAGAGCTCGGGCATCGCGCTCCACCCCAGTGCGGTTGCCCTGATCGAGGACAATGTGGTGTCTCTTGAGACGCGCGAGCTAGCGCAGGATAGAGTTGCGGAGACGCCAGCAGCGGCGCTGGAGACCGAGGCGAGTCTAGCCAAGCGGGCCCGGACTTGAGGAAGACGGGCATCGCCAACTTGTGGAATTATTGTTTGGCTCCTTCCATCCGATTTGCAAGAGCTATTCCACAGCAGGCAGTGCCGTTGCCTCGCTCTCTTGGCGATACCTTCGGCAGCACGGTATCGCCAGCAAGCCGCTCGGATCCCCTCGCCTCCGTCAAGCGGCAGGGGCCAGCATCAATCACGCGGAATCGCTGTCCATGGAACTCGCATCACGGCTATCGGCCTGTTGCTTAAGCTCTCCTTCATGCTGCTCTCCTCCCAATACTAATCGTCCGCCTCGTCCTCCTCCACCTTGCCTGAGACCTTGCCACAGGCTGCTGAGCTTACTCGATCGATCGGAATAGGGTGGAGGCGTTCGTTCAGGAATGTGCCCAGGAGGTGTCAGACCCTGGACGCTCCCTTATCTGATGAGGGCGGCGGCGATGTCCATGGCCAAGCCTCACTTGGTGTTCCACCGGCTTCCGCACCCTGGGTCTCTTGAGAAAGGAACGCTGGTGGCTTCTTATCCGATGCCCTCATCGTAGGCAGTGAGCGTCGTTCGGCTCCCCACAGCGCACCAGGGCAGCCCTGAGCGAGCAGCCGCTGCCACCAAAAGGGGCGGGGAAGCCACGGCAGTCTGCGACCCTAGGACTCCTACACGGAGTAGATGGGGTCAGAGGATCGCGCCGCATCGCCGATACATCGGCGATACGTCGCTGATGCATCGGCGATGCATCGGCGACATCGGCGATGCGTCGGCGACGCCATCGTGGAGCAAGTCGGGCTCCACATCGAGCCGCATCGCCGATGCATCGGCGATGCGGCGCGATCCTCCGACCCCATCTATCAGGAGGGGAAAAAACACACAGACACAATGAATCGTCGACTCCCCGGAAAATATTGGAAAATATGGGAATTGGGGGGAAGACAAAAACCCAGAAAATGTAGGAAACTATGGGGAATCCTGCTATTTGTGTGTACTTCTTTGTGTGTCCCAGTGCCCCTTCACTAGCGACGGCGGCGGCCGGCCCCTGCCGCGCCAGGGTGAGCTGCGCGCCACCCCGCGCGGCCGTCTGAGCGGCGGCCGCGCGGGGCGCCGAGGGCCCGCAGCGACCGCGGCCGGCCGCGCGGGAGCTCCCCGCGGGGCCCTCGGGCCCGCCGCGGCGGCCGCGCGGGAGCTCCCCGCCGGCGCCGCAGCCGTCGGCCACACGGGATGGGGGCTCGAAGAGACGGGGGTCAATGCAAACGGGGGTCAGCCAGGGCACCGGACCCTGCAGGATCCTGCGAAGACCCCCTCTGGCTGACCCGGGGTTAGCGAGCCGCTCGTGGCCGCGAGGCGCGCCCGCGCATCTTGGCGGACCCGGGTTTGCGAAGACCTGCGTTGCAGTTTTTTGTTCTGCATTGCAGGTTTTTGGTTTCCCGCTGACCCGGGTCAGAAGATCCCCGACAGACGGGAGGAGGCTCAGTCAGAGGAGGAAAACGTACTCATACCGCCACGTTGCTCCCATCGTACTTAAGCACCACGTCCCAGAAATAAGGTCGAGCACCCAGAACAGTATACCGAGACAGTGTCGAACGAGTACCGCCTCCCAGGGCCCGACACGTCAAAACACTCCAGTGTCGGTACTTTCTTGGTGCTCGAAGTTCTGTTAGGTGATCAAGGCGTCGGTTGGAACATCAGAAGACTGCTGCCCTTCGCCCGTTTTCCCTTTTTTCGCCTTCCTCGCAGCCTCTCGTTGCCACCGCTGGATTCGCCTCGAGATCCTGGTCAGAACGCAACCCGGGAGAGGTCCAGGGAGCGGCGGTATCGGTACCTCTTGGTTTCCCCACTCAGGGGCGCCGTCATCGACTGCCCGTCAGAGTCTTGGCATCGCTATGACGTGTGCATCTTTCATTCGGCGAGGACCATCGAGGAGCATCCTTGATCAGTTGGCGAAAAAAACATGCACGAAACCGAAACATACACGAGGAATGGACGTCCGAGCGATAGCGAGGAGTGACCCTGCGCTGGAGTTGCTTCTGCTGGTGCGGAACGGGCCCATTGGCGTCCCGTAGCCGCGGGGCAGGATCCGATACAGCAGCGGCTTGCGCGCTGGGGGTCTGGCCCCCCCGCGCCCACCCAAAGCCGCTAACCAAAGGCCACCTGTTGCCCATGCTCCTTATGGAGTGTAGCTGGCGACAGGGGGGGGGATCTTCGCTGAGAGGGGAGGCGTCGACCCTACATCGCCCATGCGTCGCCGATCGGGGCCCTCATGCCCAACTCCGCCCAGACGCGTGGGGGGCTCGCGATCGAGAGCCCATCTGCCGATTTATCAGTGATGCATCGTCGATTCAAGGTTTCTCTTTCCCGCCTGAGCCAGCCCCCTATCCGCGGGGGGGGGGGGGGGGGGCGGAGTTTCTCCAGGTCCGGCAGAGAGCGCAGCGCACCACGCAAACTGGCTCGGGCAGAGGCCCGAGAGACAGAGAGAGTCAGGAGGGGAAACAAAACACGCAGACACAATTCATCGTCGAGTCCCAGGAAAATATGGGAACATATGGGAAGTGGGGGGGAAGACGAAAAAAACAGCAACTGTTGGAAAATATGAGGGGATCCTTGGATTTGTGGTGCCCAGGCGCAGATCCAAGAAATCGAAAGCGCGCCAGTGGATGACCCTGAATACACAAAAGAGGGGGGTGCTCGCAGAACCCACCCCCCTCCCCCCCTTCAAAGGTGGGGTGAGATTTTCAACCCATCCCCCCCCCTCCCCCACTTAACGGGGGGGGGTCCGACCCCCCCCCCCCAATTCCCTTGAAGGGAGGGTCCGAACCCTCCCCCCCCTCCCCCCCTTGGCGCTGGAGGGAGGGGCGGGGGTCGAACCCCCCCCCCTCCCCCCCTTTGCGCCGAACAGGGGGCTGGGGAGGGGGCCTCTCCCGCAAGGGGGGGGGTTGGCCTCGGGATAGTGAGTAGAGAGTAGTGAGTAGAGACTAGTGAGTAGTGAGTAGGGAGTTTTGACTAGTGAATAGTGAGTAGTAAGTAGATAGTAGCGAGTAGTGAGGAGTGAGTAGTGAGTAGAGAGTAGTGCGCAGTGGGTAGTAAGTACTGAGTAGTGAGTAGTGAGAACTGGGTAGTGGGGAGTGACTAGTGAGTAGTGAGTAGCGAGTAGGGAGTAGAGAGTAGTGAATAGTGAGTAGCGAGTAGGGCATTGTGAGTAGTGAGTAAGGAGGAGGGAGTAGTCAGTAGTGAGTGGTGAGTGGGGAGCATTGAGTAGCGAGTAGGGAGTAGCGAGTAGTGAGCAGTGAGTACTGAGTACTGAGTAAAGGGTAGTGGGGGGTGGGTAGTGAGTAATGAGTAGCGAGTAGGGAGTAGCCAGTAGTGAATAGTGAGTAGCGAGTAGGGCATTGCGAGAAATGAACAGTGAGGAGAGAGTAGTCAGTAGCGAGTAGTGAGTAGGGAGTAGTGAGTAGCGAGTAGGGAGTAGCGAGTCGTGAGTAGTGAGTAGTGACTAGTGAGTAGTGACTAGGGAGTAGTGATTAGTGAGTAGTGAAAAGTGAGAAGTGGGTAATGAGTAGCGGGTAGCGCGTAGGGAGTAGCGAGTAGAGAGTAGCGAGTAGTGAGTAGTGAGGCGTGAGTAGTGAGTCGTGGGTACTGAGTAGTGAGTATTTAGTAGGGACGTGACCAGTGAGCAGGGAGTAGGGAGTAGTGAGTATTTAGTATTGCGTGGTGGGTAGTGAATACTGCGTATCGGTTAGCGAGTAGCGAGTAGGAAGTAGCGACCAGTGAGTAGTGAGTAGCGAGTAGTGAGCAGTGAGTACTGTGTACGGAGTAGGGAGTAGCGAGTAGCGAGCAGCGGATAGTGAGTAGTGACTCGTGGGCAGTGAGTGGTGAGTAGTGACTTGTGAGTACTCAGTAGTGAGTTGTGGATAGTGGCTACTGGGTAATGATTAGTGATGAATGAGTAGTGAGTAGTGAGTAGTGTTTAATGCGTAGGACGTATTGCGTAGTGGATAGGTTGGGAGTAGCGAGTTGGGAGTAGCGAGTAGTGAGTAGTGAGTAGTGAATAGTGGGTAGTGGGTAGTGGGTAGTGGGTAGTGAGTAGTGATTCGTGAATAGTGAGCAGTGAGTAGTGACAAGTGAGTAGTGAGTAGCGAGTAGTGAGTAGTGGGTAGTGAGTAGTGAATAATGAGTACTGAGTGCTGTTTGGGGCTAGGGTTAGGGTTTGGGGTTCGGATTACGGGTGGTCGGGATGGTAGTGTTCGGGGTGGCACGGGTCGGGTTCCGGAGCCAAGGGGCGCCGCGGCGAAAGGAAGGGGGGGGGGCTTCGAATTTGGCGGCCAAAGGGGGAGGGTGGGCGGTGGGGGGTCGGACCCCCCCCCCCTTTTGAAAGGGGGGGCAGGGGGTTCCTCGACGACGGACCTGGAAAGTGGAGGAGGGGGGGGGTCTTCGACGACGGACCGGGAAAGGGGGGGAGGGGAGGGGAGGGGGTCCCCGACGACGGATCGGGGAAAGGGAGGGTTCCCCCCTCCCCCCCCTTTGGAGCTATTCAGCGGCGCGCCATCCAAGAAATCCGCGCGGAGCGCCGAAGAGGCAGGGATGCGCAACGCGCTCCCAAGACGCACCTAGCGGGTGTAATATTTCCAAGACACTTCAGGTGGTGCGCAGGGGATGGCCCCTCACCGCGGCCTCTGTAAACGACACGCTCCCAGGACGTGGCAGCTGTAGCGTTTCCTTGACACCACCGGGGGGGCCGCCGTTCTCCGCGACACGCTCCCGGGCTCCCGGGGCGAGGCAGGTGCAGCATTTCCTCGACAGCACAGCATTGCTCTTGCTCGGAAGCGTCGTGGGGGCATGCCTCGGGTCGTCCGTGGGGACAGGCTCAGGGTGGGTCGGAGGGGCGTCCTTGTAGACCGTCCAGCCGTCCGTGTGGGCAGCGCTGCCCGCGAAGCCGAGGTAGGTCTAGGCCGTCGGGGCGAGGGGTCGTGGGGGAGGGAGCGTCGTCGCCCTCGTCGCCGTCATCCGCCGTCGGGCTCAGCGTCGGGTAGTGTGCGGGACGGGGCGTCGGTCTGGGCGTCGTGGAAAGCGTCGGGAAGGGCGTCGGGAGGGGTCTGTCGTCGTGCCTGTGCTGGCGGTCGTTGGCGTCGGCGTCGCAGGGGGGAGGGGCGTCGTGGTCGTAGTCGCCGTCGTGGCGGTCGTCGTTTTCGTCGCCGTCGCGGCGGGGGTTCGTTGCGGGGTCGTCGCGGGAGCCGCAGCCGGGATGCTGTCGCAGGATCCGTCGCGAGGGTCGTCGTGGGGAGGTTCGGGTTGGAGGGGGGCGTGGGGCAGTTGTGGGAGTCGGGTCGGCTGGGGGTGGGGGTCGGGTGGCAGTTGTGGGTGTCGGGTCAGGATCCCTACGGCCGCTTCCCATGATACGCCCCCCCCCCCCCCGCAGGCTCCCTCTCAGGGCGTGCGGCCACTCGCGGATGTCGAGCCGCCCGCGGGGGAGGCGGCGCCAGCCATGTGCTGGCCAGCGGCCCCTATGGCCGCGTCCCTGGGTATGCCCCCCACGGGCTCCCTCACAGGGCGTTCTGCCACTCGGGGTTTGACCTTGGGGGCCGTTGGGCAGGGTGTCGGGGGGGCGTCGGGCAGGGCAGGGGATCGCAGGGGCCTTCGGGCGTGGGGTGGTCGTCGGGCGAAGCGCCGGGTGGGGAGTGGGGCGGGGCGTCGGGCGGGGCGTCGGGGAAAGCGTCGGGAAGGGCGTCGGGAGGGGCGGCGGCTGGACCGTCGGTCGGTCCGTCCTCGCGCCCGTCCTGACGGCCGCTGGCGTCAGCGTCGCAGGGGGAGGGGCTTCGGGGCTTCGGCGTGGTCGTGTTCGCCGTCGTGGCGGACGTCGTCTTCGTCGCCGTCGTGGCGGGGCAGCTGAAGGGGCCGTCGCGGGGGCGGCCGCGGGGGGGCAGTCGTAGGGTCCGTCTTGGGGTGGCGTCTTGGTGGTGGGTCGTGGGGGCGTTCGGGTCGGGGGGGGGTCGTGGGGCAGTCGGGGGGGTCGGGCGGGGGTTTCAGGGAGTGATTTCGGTTGTCCCTATGACCGCTTCCGT